ATAGTAATAGGAATCTATAATAACAAATTCAACATGCTAGCATTGTTTAGGTATATTTATAGCCTATACGTCCTTAACCGGCGAGCAGTTGTTTCGATTAATATGTATATCAAAATAAGTGTTGAAGCAAAAAAGTGTCATGCGATGCTTCTTTTTTATTATAGTGATGGAAGTTGCAATCGGTGATTATGGTATCAGCGTGGATAAATTGGCGGCTGCCGTCAATATGGTATACAAAGATCAAAAGTGCGTTACGTATACGATGAAACCGCAGTTGGACGGTAATTGCAAAGCATTTTTTTACCTACTTTGTCCATCATGATCTAATTTTACACTTGTCAATACGAGACGTGACAGTTCAGTCAACTTTACGAAGTAATCTCGTTTGCACATGTTATAGCGTTTACCATTTTGTTTATACAGAGAGCACAAAGCAACCACCACCAGCCGGGTTCATTGCTCAGGTGTACCTGCTCTACAAAAGGCAATTACTTTCTCTGAAAAGAGATTACACGTTACTGGTGGTACGTCTGTTGTGTCATCTGCTAATTGGAATAATCTTCGGCTACTTATACATGGGAAGCGGTTACAGAGCGAACGGTGTCCTCGCTAATTACGTTTACCTTTACGGATCGTTGCTACTGATCGTTTACACCGGGAAAATGGCCGTCACACTTGCCTGTAAGTATTTATTCGTTTTCATTCCTACTTGGGAATAAGTTATAATTAGGGCAGAAGAATACTAGTTTTTTCCATTAATATTATCGTTCCGAAAAAAATTTTCGTCATATTATGTTAATATTCGAAATAACGGTTCAAGTTGAAAAAAATCGGAAGGAGGAGAGCAAGGTTTAATATTCAGTTTCCCACGATTTCATCCTTCCTTCCATCGGTATCAGTTCGCGGCATCGATGGTACGTTATGTAGGTCAAGGAGCAGTGACGCGTGGCTGTGTCTCGGGCTGAATCGCGACACACGGGAGAGTTAACAGTATCTCTAGTGGGTATTCACTACCGTATGCCATATGTATCATTTTTCTGCTCTTAAAAAGTGTTGCCTCCCGCGCCGTTCAACCGTGTTGCCGCTTCTTATGTTTCGCGAACCTGTTGGATATTTATTTAAAGTAAATTCTTGGAACCTGCCGCTCTATCTTTTGACCAGTCTCTTCTTTTCTCGATTTTTTCCTCTCTTTCTTTTAGAAAGTGTTCCAAGGTAAATTCGATCTAAGTTTCACGCTTCGCATATGAGAAAGTAGAAAATATGAATGACTGGTCGCTGGACGACTTTACTGTGAATGAATTCAAATTTTTGTCGAAACTCTCTGAACGTCGGAGAGGATTAGAATGAAAGTCTTTTCGAAGGGAATTAGATAAAATAATGAGAGACAGTAAACTTTGAGGGAAAAGAAGAATATAGCAGCTGGAAATTGGTTTCAGTTCCGCTAGAGATGCGGATACTTTCGAGGGAACATTTTAACCGATGGTATCGGTTAGCGCCGTACTATATTAGTATGCTGCTGGTGGAAATACCATTCCAAGCGTCCTGTGCAACGACCTATTTAGTCGTCAGTTACTGGTTGACAGGACAACCGGTGGAAACACCTCGCATATTGTCGTTCATGATATTTAGCATAGCCGCCACTCTGACGGCTCAAGCATGGGGCTTCTTCATCGGGGCGACTACACCAGTCAAGGTAATTGAAACTAATATACATTATCCAGTTGAAGAATAAAATTGAGCATAAATATTCATAAATATGCATAAAGAGCGATGCAAGCCTGCAAACCGCGTTTGGTATGTTCATAGAATTAATTTTAGTTTCACTTTTATTTCATTCATTCTGCTCGAATACTTGAAACATGCGTTTTAACGCGAGTAATTGTTGAGGACCTAGGAAGTCCTCCGTTCTGGTGCAGCACACGCTATAGTTGCGCAAGCATAGATGCGCACATATCAAAATATTATCGATTTTTCAACGTAATTCCCGTCATTTACGCTCAGACGACTTTTTGATTGATTCATTATGCAACTTTATTCGTCCTATTCACTTAGGCAAATATTCAGCGTAAAATAATTACATAAGTAAACCGTAACGACTTTAATACAAAACGATTAATCTTCGTTTATGTTCTCATTCCTTCGATCACGTTTAAGTATTAATTTGCATAAATCACAAACGGTTTAAGGACAGTCGCCTAAAAATCTTTAATTATGCCGGGAATAACGAATATCTGTGAATAGAAGACTAAAAATATTTCTCTTTAAATAAGCGTGCGTTGTAAAATTTATTTTCAGATCGCGGTGTTCGCGGGGCCGATAATCGCAGTGCTGTTCTCCGTGTTCGGGTTCTGTGTCCGTTACATGGATACGCCCGCTATGTTCCGATGGATGTTTCACATATCGTATTTCCGTGCCAGCTTTCACAGCCTACTGCAAACCGTCTACGGTTTCGATCGGCTGGACTTGAAATGCGACGATTTTTATTGTCACTATAAGAAACCGACGAAATTCCTACAGGAGATGGACATCGACACGAACGTCGCGAACAACCTCGCTCTAATCGTCGGTATCGGCGTGTTGATGCATTTGTTAACGGCCAGCGCTCTATGGTGCAAGCTTAACAGAAGATAAACGAACAAGAGGACTATGTATATTTATTTCCGTACTTCGGTAATCCAGTATTTGTTGTCAGCCGTTTCCGGTTCGCTCCCCGCCTATTACGTGACGCACGACGGGTTCCTCCTCCTAGGACCGTGTAGGAGTGGATCGATGAAGCGTTGAATCCTCTTATGTTTTGTCAAGCGTGAATATATTTCTTACCAACGACCCTGCCAACAGTAAATAATATCTTTTGATTTAGAATTTTATAGAAAATGTCCGGCAGGCATAAATTATATGTTGTCGCATTGTACTTATAGCATTTCGTTGAAACTGGTGTGCACAAAAGTTGTCTGACAACTCTTAACGGCGGTACATGAATTTAATCGTACTACTAGTGAATAAAGTTTAATCGTCACACGTCGCACCGCCTCTGCCGTATACGGTGCTAGTAACTTATTATTTTCTCTCGAATGCATCTTCTATAATTAATTATAGGTAAGAAACGAATGAACTGCGGGTTCATATTTTTGTAGGAATTAAAAAAACGAAATCTAAACGAAGACCTAGCCAGAATATACCTCATATATTTTTACACATTATGTGCATTTTATACATCTAAAATTTTCTTTAAAGATAATACGGACATCCGCGGTTTGGTAATGGATCCGCGAAAGCTTTAACATATGTGGGAAGTCTTTATGTATTACGTGTGACGTAATTGTTAACATATAGCGATTAAGGATGGAATATATTTTTTTTATCACATTTTCGTATTCGTACAATGCTATCGACGTGATCAACGTTTTGTGTCGTATAACTGCTTTGCGATGTAATTCAGTCTCTTGCAATTTGCGTACACAACTATTGAGATATGACTCCAATCGGAGATAAGAAAATATCGATAATATAATATCGATGACGGGTGCAGAGCGTTTCAGTATAGATAAAAAGAAAAACGAGAAAATGATATATGTATATGTATGTATAAAAAAGATACGTGATATTATATTAATTATAATATTAATATCGGGGCATTGTTTATTCATTAATAATTGCGATGAATAATTTTGAAAAAAGGCATCGCCATTCTTCTTATTTAATAGCAAACTAGGAAAATTGTTAAATTGATTCCTCAAAACTTTTTCTTATGGATATTTAACGGATCTAACTACTATCTGTGATATATTTGTTAGACATCTTTACTAAATAGCAACGTTTAAATGTAATATTATGTGAATTGGAGAACGAAAATTGTCTTGTAAGAATCAATATACACAATTTTAAATGCTAGTTGAATGAAATTCGATCTTGTCATTGTTACGGACGAAAAGTTTGAACCATGTTTTTCACACTTTCGATTTTTTACGATATTTATTATTTGTAGACGATGAATCTCCGTGCTTACAAATAGACAAGTTTTTGAATTATCTGTGACGTTACGAAATAAAAATAAAAACGTTTATAAACAAGTTTTACCTAGTTTTAACAAACCTGTTCATCTGGAATTATTTAAAAGAATGGATAGAAAATGATTCCCAATTGCAATGACACAGAAATGAAACAGTTTACTTCCAATATTTTATGTTTTATTGTACGCCGTATCCAATTTGTTTCTACATTCGGATACATTGTTAAATCTGCGTCTATCGTTAATTCATATACAGGTAGAACGCTAATAATACATTTCGCTTCTCTCCCGATTGAAGTTTTCATCATAAGGTATCGTGAAACGATCGGGGTTTTGATAAAGATCATGTCGCATAAATTACACAAACTTAAATTGTACAAGTATAGCTCACATCACACTATAATCCATCCATCTTGGAGTTAAATTAGATTTCTATGGAACAAATTTTTAAGAGATCAATATGAATAATGTCGCGAATTCTTGCTATAAATATACACATTACATATATTACACACAGGTCTAGGAAACTCTTGCGTCCTAGGAGAGAATAGTAGTTTCATATACATTCTTTCTTCGTAAAGTTACACTAGGAAAACATCTTTGTTTCGGTCCGGAGTGTATGAAAACTGTAAAAAAAAACTATTCTTAACCAAATCGCAAGAATCGTGTAAGACCAGTGGTAAATTGATGTTTCATTACACATTTTACACATCATGTCTCATTCATTACGCTTGACTACGGATGCAGCACAAGAGAAAACAATAGGAAGCAAGAGGAATTTTACGAAACCGTGTACACCGTTGTAAGAAACTGTGTCGAAACATTTCTGGGAATATTGACGATTAAACATGAGCACAAAACGAAGTCGAGATTTTTTCTAATAATAATACACACACACACCTTTTACTGCAAGCGTTCACTAAATTAAGACTTAGTAATTAATAATTTGTATAAAAGAGGAAATAGATGATTCTTAAAATAATCGCTGATTATAGTTAAAACTTCTGAAAAAGTATACAAATATTCGACACTCTCGGTCTGTGATTGAATTTCATGATTCAATAAACACAGGAAAATCATGTTTATTCTATATCAAATGAATTTAAAAACGAAAAATCCGAGCAATCTTCAATGAAATATAAATAGCACTACTGGTAGTAATAGTTTCAGATAAAACTTGCTAATATTTTTGAAACAATTATGAATATAATAATTGTATTATTTCGCTATTTATAAAATCTTATACTAAATTTCACGCAAGGAACGCAAAAGAAAGTTAATACCTATGAAATACTCATTCACAGATAGCTACTGAACTCTTCTGACAATAATTATCAATTGTGTTCAATAATTTTGAATTCAATTATTCTAAACATATTCCCGACAGCATGCTAAGCATGATTTGAATAAGATGCAATGCAAGTGATGTGTTTTACGGAACAAAGTAAAAAACGTTTTTAAATTACATACATTCGTCATTTCTTAAGGACGTTCCATAAAGGATATAATATCCTATTCACATTCTGGAAGAGATTACACAATTCAATTATTGCATAATCTCTTTAATAATTTTTTAAATCCTTACTAATTGTGTTTAAATACAATGGACAAGAAAAACGCTTATGCATCGTTTCATGAGGCGTAGAACTCGGAATTAGTATTTATTTACTAAGGTTTATATGCGTGACAAACGATTAAAAATTCAACGTTGACAGAATTATAGCCACGTAGCCCTTCAATACCTTTTTCTTCGACGAGACGTGGTAAACATCTATATATAGGACTCTGTTGTCTCATCAAAAAGTAATAGATATTGCAGCAGCGATCGGTGTAACTTAAAAACTAAACAAGTGCAATAGCGAGAAAAGGAAACGTAGACAGAAACAAGTCGAAAATGAGAAAACAAACGTAGACGAAAAAAAATATACGCATCAATCCACATAATAGATCTCTAAAGAGATTGGGATTTCAAGAAAGACTAAAATCATAAGGTACTATTATTTCGTGTTATATTATGTACAGCGATCGAATATTATTTTGTCTCTATCGATTATTTACAATGAATTATTTTCGCACTTTTTTTTAATCACAATGCTTCGACAGTTTCACCTTTCTTTGCGATTCCGATTCATCCTCCATGCCGTACAGATGATACCGGTGCTTCATTTCGGTCGCGACAGACTTCAATGAAATCAATTGAAAACAACAAAGAAAATCAACTTAAGCCGAAATCTGAGGAAATTATAAAAAGTAAGAAAATACGACAGAAATAAAAAAAGGTGAAAATCATTAAATATATATATGTATATATACGGATATAAAAAATATAAGTGTATCCTATGTCGATAACTGTCCACAAAAGTAAAATTAAATTATCGCTAAACTCACCAATCGGGAACGAACTCTTTTTGGCATATCTTCTTGTCGGCTATAAATCTCGTTTCGTTTCAATACTAACTGTGAACCATCTTCAAAAATTACCTAAAACACAATTACACGATTTATAGTTATAGTTATAACAATCATTATAATAGAAGGATAGAATAATCGTGAATTACTTACAGTATACATAATTTGATGATTTGTACCTTCGAAGATACCATCGTACAGAGTTCCATCTGTCCATTTTACAACAACAGGAGCACCCAGCTGCGGTGGGTTTCCAGCCTCATAATTCTGCAAAGAATGCAAAATTGATTAAGCATATTTTCCAAAAAAATACGGTACAAAATATGTGTATATAAACTTACCGTAATGTCTGACGGATATAAATCTTCACTAAAACTGTCGTCACTAAACGTGACCATGTAAAACAGGGTATCGTGTATCGAATCCACTTTGGCTTTGTAATACCGCTTATTACGGTGCTTCGCCCAAACGATTTCTCCCTGTCGAATCGTTGGTATCTTTTCTTTCCCGTCATCGTGGCCATCGCACGTAACCTGAGGAGACGAGTCTCGTTATTAGTGTCATTAATTTCAATTAATTCACTTAATCTCGGTTAATTAAGTCTGAATTACCTGAAGCTCAAGTGAATTGTATACGGGTATAGTGAACCTAGCGCCGGAAATGAGACCACATGATGGGTGAAACAAATTGTTGCATTGATTGCACTTTAAACACGCTCCGTTCTTCTGTCCACAGTAACAACATTGTTGGTTAACGTTATCCGGTTTAATAGTCAATACGTTGATGGGATCTTTATTTACTGCATCCTTAAACGTCACTCCCGGTAACAAAAGGGCGCATAATATGTGTGCCCAATTACTATCGCTAGTCCTCTTAAGAGCACCACCGCGCATTGGACATAAACAACACATCTAGAAATAGAAACAGATTAAAACAAGTTGAACGAAAGCGAAGATCGAGTAAAATTTATTTTTCGTGATATACGTACCACTTGCGTTTTACCAGCTTTGCATTTATCGCAAGCCCAATTTCGCAGATCCGTAGGTAATACGGTGATTCCGTAACAGGAAGCGTGTACCGTGACGTGACACTCTCTACAACGTAAAAGCCTATCATTTTCCTGTTCAACGACTTGCTCCTTTGAATTCGCAACGAATACATTTGCAGATACCTGAAAAATACATATTCCAATAAAGTTTACCATAGACGATTTAATCGATCGAAGCGTTTCGTCGAGCTCATTGTGTGTAAATTTTTATTAATTACCCATATCGGCGAGCTTTCTGGTAAAACGGTGGGTTTACAATACTTCCAATCCGGTGGCATCAGCCTGCCGTGACTATTGCAACTGGATGTAAACGGTGCGCAGATCGCACAGTGAGAAATTTGAGCACTCCAATAATCGTTGAATGCCTTCAATAATTCGTTGTTCGGAACACTCGGATACAACATATCCGATATATGTCCAGGTACCATTGATATACGATGCGATACAGAAGGCGTTTGGTCTACGGAACACGCGATCGTGCTCGGTTCCTCCACGTTCACTGTCATCGCTGGTATTTTCATTTCCGTGGATTCCTTTTTCCTTGTCGTCTTCTTTTCCTTTGACTTTCGCCTCGAGTTCATGAATTGGATGGGTTTTAACGCCGGCATGTTGGCGTATATATTCTCCGGTCTCTTCTGCGTATTCATAGCCTGTGGTTTGTCATTCGTTGTGACCACATTAAGAGACTGTGTAGGCGAGTTGGGAGATTCTTTTATGTCCATGGTGGAATGATTCTTAGTGTACTGTTCATTAGCGTCTACTCTCGGGGTGTTTAATAAACTTTTTCCGGATTGTACAGCGTGAAGAGGATTGTCTACTCGCGTCGACACGGTTTTCACATTACCAATGGTCGTATTCATATCTTTTAGTTTCCTACTACAAGTTTCTTCTTTTGGGCTGGATAACTTCTTCAAAACCGATTTTTCCTGTGATTTGGATAACATCTTCATGTTAGAACCGATCTTATTCGGAGCAGGAATTGGGATTTGTACGCATTTCTTCTTGAAGTCGAACGTCATTGGTTGCTGATTTAACAAAATGCTCGTGCACTTTGGAGTCGTAGATAAGAGCTTATTATTATTTTTCACTAAGCTTAACGTCGGAGATGCTACTGAGGTTCCAGCCATGTTTGAATGTTTCATCGTAGAAATCACTTGTCTGTCGTCTTTTACATCTTTCAGGAAAAGGAAGTTACTGTTCCCGCTCAACGGTTGCCAGAACTTTATTTTCGACGTGTCCGTGATGGACATCCTTCCGAGATTTTTCATCTCGTTGTTCATTCCGCTTGTATTTGTCGCAGGCTGCATCAAAGATTGCGCCAATACTGAAGTCTTCGCGAAGAGACCTTCTAATTGAGGTATCTGAATGGCACCTGACGTCGTGGGTTTGGAGATTTCCACATTCTTCGTTTCATTCCCGGATACCTGCACCGAGATTTCTCTCTGAAGAATCGGCGGATTCGAGAAGCTCGAATTCAAAAACATAATGTTCGGTCCAGGAACTTTAGTTTCCCGTGGTTTGGCGATAGGCCAAGTCTTTGGTAACACCACCACGCTGTTCGGTGGTTTACGAGTATCGCTGTCCTTAGTCGCAGATTTTTCAGAATTCACTTTTACAGATACTTCAGCCGCGGGTACAGTGTACGCTGATTTTAAAAGATTCAATCTCGGAGCTTTTATAATATCTTTCTTCGTGTAATTAGGTAAAGGTATTTCACTTATGAACGTTCCCACACTCTTACAACTAGTGTAAGTGCTCGGTTTCGTTTCCTGCTTAACGACCTTTGAGTTCTCGCCGATACATTCGGACTCAACGGCTTTGTTTACTTTAACAGACTTGATTTGACTCGTAGAAGATATGTTTTTCTGAGGGTTTTGTTTAGGAACAGTAGACTTCACTGCTCCATTGGATTTTTTTTCTGTCGTATTATTGTAATCGAGATTTAAATCTTGAGCACTGTCCTTATCCGCTCTATCCTTGATAGGAGATTCCTCTATACTAGTTACTGTGATGTCACGCCCGAACATTATATTTTCCATTATATTAGTATCTTTAGCTATTGAAGATTTATGGGAACTAAGACTCGGCATTGCCATCAGTTTCCGCTGTACATCGGCATCGGACACGTCTAATGGTTCGTTAGTGTTGAAAATAGACATGTTCAAATGTTTACGTTTAGTCTTATTCAGGTTTTTCGTCTTTATCTTCTTTGGTTCTTCTGATTTCGAATGCTTCTTCCTCTTCTTCACTGGTTTATCGGTGGTTTCCGGAAAGTTAGATGCTTCTGCAAATCTTACGCCTTCAGTGCTCCTATTACCCGAAATCACATTATTCACGTTGTCTTGATCGTAGCCATCCATTTGTGCGCTCTGTTCCGAGAGCGTAGAGAGGTAGTTAAGGCTGTCATCCCGTTCCATTTTTACCTCAGTCTTTACCTTACTAATATCATCCATAATACTTCTGTTGGAATCCTTCTTGGATCTCGGTTTATCTTTGTCGTTCTTCCTTTTTCGTTTCCGGCTCTTCTTGCGATTATATCCTTCATCAAATACGGAAGCTTCGGTCACATCTGCATCAAATACAACTCGTTAGTTGTTTAAAATTGATATAAATAACTAAGAATACTTTCATTTTGATACATAGAGAAAATTTCTTAAGATCGAAGATACTATCATTTCGATTTTAAATATTGTTAAAAAGAATTTTTACCCATTTCTCCTGCTTTCAACCATATGTCTTCCAAATATTCCAGTTGTTGCTCGTCTGGCGGATCGTCCACTTCTTCCAATTCCAGATCTTGCAACACTTTCTTCACATCCGCTGGAATATCTTCCATGTCGACGTCCGGATTCGTGGCCATTATACTTTTCTTTTTATGTATTCGGTGTCGTTTATTTTTTGAAGCATTCAGATAACTCTGCGGCAAAGGCCCATTGCTGTTACTACACAGAAGATCCATCTGCGACGGCATAGGTGCGGCTGTCTGTTTAGGATCTTCCGGATGCTGGCCAATGTCTGCTCCACGTAACCATAATTCATACCTGTAACACGTAATAACATCATATGTATCCTTGTAAAATGACAACAAAAAAGAAATATATTACGTTTTCTTACCTCTCCGGTTGAAAACGTTTTACAAAAGTGTCCATAGATATTTTAACCATATCTTTACTGCAGGTACAATGTGTAGCTCTTTTACCATATTCCACCCAACGTGGTGCAGCGAAGTTGGTGGATTCAGCGCAATTGAATCCATGATTAAAGCCAGCGTGATATCCATAAGGGAAAGTGATCATTATTTCTCCAGCTTCTTGAGTTATCTAAAAGGGAATTAAACATTAATTATACTTGTCCTTCTGGTTACATTAACATGTTTCTGACGAGCTGAGACTCACTTTATTGCATGGAATAGAATACTGTCTCAGTATTTGGGGAGAAATAAGAGACATTTTGTGACGTAAGAATGCTTGACAATTTTGATAACTCGATGGAAAGAAACCACTGGCTAGTCTCTCTAACCTTCTACCATGCTCTGGTGGTATAGCGTACCAAGTTTTCGGAGCCCCGAAATGTAAATAATTTATCGAATACAAATCCATGTCCTCTGTATGCCAGGCGAACGTAGTCTTCCACATTCCAAAGTAAAGATATGCCGTGTTAACACCATCAATAGATATACCATAATCTTTGTTTACATAATCAAGTATCGTCCCTAAATGATTAATGTTCCATTCTTTCACTTCGGGATCAGTCAATGAACCAGAAACATCGGCTCCATATATAGGTGCTACATATGTTATATTCTTCCAGTACTTTCTCTCCAAGTCTTCGTAGTCGAAGTGACGTGGTGTGTTATATCGTTCGGAATTAGCCAATTTACTATACTCCTTCACAGTCATTGATTTCTTTTGTATATTGATCTGCTGATAAAGACCCTGTTTGCCAGTTACTACTTGACAAATCGGTGCAGGAATTGTTAGATTTAAGTCATCTAAATCATAGCCTCTTTTCCTTGGATTCCACTCAGGTGGTGGAATTACTTTAGCTAAACCAGCTTTATGCGCTCCTTTGCTTTCCATATACTCCACATACTTGCTGAAATCCTTAAACTCTTCATACGTGGGCCTAAACACTTGAATGCGGGGGACACCCCGCGAAGTGGTGCTGACCATTTTTCTTTAATTTATATTATACACACCTGCAACGAAAAAACATGCATTAGACTTCATACTAGAAGAGATTATTTGAAAAGCACTCGATTTATTCGAAGTAATTTTGTTTATAGTGCAAGAGAAAGAATCGTTCGTAAAATAAGTGACACACTGTTTAAAATGAATAATTTATGAGGTACAACAATCATGGAAATGAATATTTAATAATATAGGTGAAACCGTGACACAGAAACGTGAATCAAAACACGCGATTCCGAAACAACCGCGATGATTATTTGATGAATGAAAAAGCACTCATAATGCACTGATACGATACTTCGATCGTGATTAGAACAATATGAACCTGCTCAACGTAGATTTGATTTTAATAAACAACAACAACACTAAAAAACGGGATGATGAAAATAGGTACGCAATGTTTTTAGGACGACACGGGCCGGAGGTGCATAAACAAAATGGATGATGTCTATTGTCAAGAACTGTTTCCTAAAATAAACTTCTTTGCCTGGCACTATACATTTTCGAGGAACGAGATGGCATGTTGCAGTGGAACGGATCGGCTATCAGGATGAACGATTTCACTGCGTACTTGGGTCTTCCACGGGATTCTCAACAAAGAATGGATGACCGATCACGAAATCTCGTGCTCGTGCACTGATATTGACCGACAAAAGTAAACCCATTCGTGTTCACACAATTTTACCGTAATCGCGGACGCACCACCCTATTACTTACATTGAAATCAAACGTTATAAATCATCTTTCCTGTATAAACACCATGTTAATCTAAATATTGTGGAGGACCTTACGACTTGACACATCTATTGCTTCACCCCGCGCGTCTCCTAAAGCAATGGCAATAAAGATGGCGTGGAATAGCTCGAGACCGAGACGCTTCACAAATACGCATGCGTGCGCAGCGCTAAATTCGACTTTTTGCATTTTGTCACGTACGTAATATTTCGTCAAGATTATTACAGAAATATTATATCAAATGCTCTTACAGATAATTNATTCATCTATTCGTAGAAGGATACAAAATTAGAATTAATCTACAAAAAGAGTTTTATTCTTTATCCGATCATTAATATTTAATTGTACCTGAATTATTTATTATTAGACTATTTAGACATTGCAACTCCTCATCTACACTCACTTCCTATTTCTTTATATTTGCACTAATATATCTGTCAAGTGCCTGTAGTAACTTTTAAACGCTTCCTCGAAATTTTTTACGCGTATATATGTAGTAATAATAAACATCAAATACTTAATGGATTTCCGTGAGGCATTATTTTGACTCACAACGATAACACCTTCATAGTGTTACATTTCCGGTACAAACCTATTTCCGGTTTGGTCACTACTTTTTATTTAGCGAGGGGATTTACTGTTAATAATTACAGCCTCGCAGAAATTCATTTCAAATATTTTTGTTTCAATTACTGTATGCTCTAACGCTAAATTTTCTAATGCACTTGTTCGCTCAAATAGTATGGTCATTGTCTCGAGTCACAATAAAAGCTGCATATTTCAAATTAATTGTACTATGTACTTGTGTTTAATTACAAGTGCTTGAGTTACTCTATATTCGTCGTAATCGCGTTTGCATCATTGCATCGATGATGCAAAGATAAGGCTCAAGAATCTTAAAAAATGAGACTCACGTATTCGCAGACAAAGAAATGTGTCGCTGATTAGAATTGCAATGTAGAGTGTTGCCTCGTAAGCCCTGACAACCTTCGGCAAGCGATTAGGAAGGCCCTACCATAAAACACAGGTATTTGTTGTAGTTATCCCTTACGGACCTCACATACCTGCAGAACCCAAAGGACAGTATATCGATTTCAAAAGACCCTGGGAAAACTCCGAATCACCTCCACTTCTTTATGTTTATGACAAATACCTCTACTACTTTTATCACCAATTTTTACCAAATCTTTAAACGTCACTATCAATTGAAAAACGAACTTTCTTCCCTTCTTTATATTCCTTACCACACCCCCACTGCTTACGACAATTCTTTGTTTCCCACGAGGCTCAATTTTTGGAAACAGGAAGAAGACAATTACAGCTTACAGCTTGATCCTCTGAGCAACAGCACGCATCAAGCAACTAAGTATACTTTGTTCATTTAAATATTAAATAATTGAATTAAAGAAACACATCAACTCTACGTTTGTCATTAACCCTCCAACGAGTTCTTGAGGCATTAATTTTTCTCGAGAACGCTGAGGCACGTGAGACAGAGATAAAATTCAATCTCAGGCCGACAAAACATAGAGTACAATTAAGGTAGCCCAGGTGTTAGTATCAGCTGATGCATCAGTATTTTAAGTGGACGCGAATGAACTTTCAATGAGGTACAAAGCGTGAAAAGAAGTCTAATCGAAGGCGCATTCGTAGTTTAGCGTTCGAGGTGAACTGTACATCGATCGTGAATAAGCTGCAAGTTCGTTGATAATCAGTGCACTTTCTTCTTTAAATTTTTGTCAATATGCAGTCTTTTTAGTGTTAAGCATTTCACAATTTGAGAGCAATAACGGCTAATTTCGTATAGTGACACATAGGAGATAATATGATTTCACAAAGATAAAACATGCTTGAAAGGAAAAAAGAAAAATGCGCGATAAAAGAGTAACTTTTTTTAATTGCTTTTTCCGCGATTTAGACTGCACACCTGTTGTTTATCACCGATCGGCTTGTTAAACAGGTAGATATGTTTTATATGATTGATAGCACTCGATAAACGATTTTCAGATACAAATATAAATTCTTCGTCTTTCCTAGCATTTTCTCTGTGTACGAAGGTATACACATTATTCTTCCTCGCTAATTGAAGCTAATGAAGCTGTTAATCTTTAGCCCGCCAGCACTAGTCACGTTCAAACGTTTTTAAAAAATTACATATAATTATATCAAGGATATATGCCATATACTCACCAATTATTTGTCAATAAATCCTCTTAACGATTGTTACATCTACAAATTCTTGTATTATCATTTTCTTAGTAAAAATTACGTATCAATCATTTCTTATCACCCTATAAATCAGAGAATGGACGATTTGACTTGAGAAAGAAATAAGTCCATTTTTAAGTAAATTTGTGCACATAATCTTTTCTTAAACAATGCTTATCTTCTCTAAATATGATCTGTCTTCTAGTGCATAGACAATTTCTTCCCAGTAATATGCGCCTAGGAATAATCGATTACGTTTCGAAGGTCACATTCTTTAGACAGATTATTTTTCGTGATATCACGAACAATATTAAATCATAAATGATGACAAAATCGTAATTAATATGAGAAACACATGTAGTAAATCTTCCTCGGGAGTGTTGCTTGCGCATGTGATTCGTAGACAAAAATAACGATAGGGGACAATTCTAGTGTCAATATCTTTTTTATTTAAAAACCGAATCGATAAATAAGAGCATTGCTTAATCAATAATTAAACGGTGTAGACAATTCGATCAAGTAAAATTCCGCATACTTATGCCGCAGTCTAAGCGTGCGTTTATTAAACCAAGAGAGTGGGAGAGATAGGAGCTTTTGTCTCGCCGTTGCGGAGTCCGCGGGTCGCAGTATGGTAACACGCCTCCACGCGCGAGCAAGAAGTCTGTCGGAGACAAGTTCCGTGCTTTTTGGATTTGTGTTGTTGGCCTCTCGTCGGTCGTGGAGCGTGAACTTTGTATGCAGTTCATGACGACGCGTCGCCTTCGACGGAACGCCAGCAACCGTGCCATATAGTGCAGATAAGACGACGTCTAGCGATTAAAGGCAACGTTCTCATAATTTGCCAAGTGTTCGATGTTTATTGAAACCAACTTGTGAATCGGTATGTGCCTTTTGAAGGATTACAAACAAATTCCGTGAATTTTCATTGTTAAGAAATGTGAATGTACGTCCAGTGTTCGCCATCGAGAAAAAAAGAAAAACATATATATAGATATATATATCTGTTCTGCATATTTAAATAGACATCTAACTATTCTAAATTGGAAGATTGTCAGAACACGTGCCACTTGTTAGAAATTTTGAGTTTCTCCGCTATCGCAAGATACGCGGTGCTATTCACTATAATAGCGCGCCAAAGGCTGATAATAGAAACAAACTAGCGACGCGGATGTCTAAAGAGGTCTTTAGATTTAAAATTTTGGCACGCATTCCCAGACACTTACATTTGCATGCTTTGTAAAACAGTGACACCGAAAGTTTTCGTTTGAAACGTCCTCTATTTTCTGTGTAACTTATACGTGTTCATACACGTGACACAGTTTCCTATTTACAATTCAAATTACCGTGGAATGCAAATAGTCGATACATTGATATTACAGTAAAACAGTGTCAATCTTGCTTCACGCGTACTATCAGTATCGATAATGATGACGTTGACAAAGCTGCAATTAAAACGCGATATTGAATGGATGATGCTTCTACATTTAGGATGATCTCATTGCTTCATACATATGAAAGTTTGTAAATATAATTACTGTAGATCGCGTTAACCAGTTTGTACGGGCGTTTATGTACCACCGCTCCTATATGTGCGTCGCGTGTATCGAGCATTCACATGCGTTTCATTATGTCTAGTGCTGATAAACGGAGTCGACCATTAAGAAAATCAAGAGAAAGCGTTGAGAAAGTGAAAAGTCGAATGTGAGAAATTGAAGGATCGATCACAGAAGAAAATGGGCACGAAGGTACTCATCGAGATGCAACAGCAGCTGAGAAACGCCATGTCCAATACAGATAATGCACCGACCAGTACAAAGAAGTTGGATGATCTAGTGGATATCAATAATTCGGTATTTCTAGTCTTCGAGGATATCTCGTACAGTGCCAGACCGTTCATTCTATCCAGAAGTAAGTTTTTCACGTAAAAGGCATTCGTTACGATGGCCGCGATTGAGTAACTTTCTCGTGTAACGAGTACGCGACTTTCGTAAGGAATTTCGCTATCAGTAAACGAAATATAGGCATACTTGAAACGAGATACATATTTTTGGAGATTCCATTTACCAAGAGCCTTATCCGAATTCCTTATCGCAGTATGTATTCAATCCGTTCGATAGGCAACTTTATTTATTAGCCAGGAGTATATACTGACGCTTAGTTGTACAAGCTTGCATTTATTGACGCGATAACTGGGTTTATTTTGAGCTCGTGGACCTCGGTAGCGGAACAATGCTCTTTAAAATAGTCTGACCGAAAAAAAAAACGAAAAATGTGGCAGCATTCGTTTTTTCTTAATATAGGGACTGCTCTGTGGAACAGTGATTATGAATACGATAAAAGTCCTGCTTATCTGAATGTCTAAGAATTTGCTTGAAAATATAAATATAGACCGTGTGCACAATCGAACCCTTCCCAGTTGTCTGTGTGCTTCTGTATGAGTACGCACGTGTACACCATCCGTATGAGTTTATTAACCCTGAAACGGTTAATAAGTACAGAAGACGACGGGGCAGTGTCACTGCGACTAGGGAACAAACATCTTCAATACTGTCTTTAAAAACTATAACGGCGCGGAGACTGGAGACGTCCCTGACAAATTCAATAAGGCCTTTGTGAGATAGTCAACAAGAAGCGCATCTTCTCTCTTATCCTAATGGTGCTCTTTACCTTCTTTGCACACAGAGAATTTTTTATCAAACGCGCTGTACCCTCTTATAGAGCGATGCATAATTATTTCCTTTGGTGTTTGTTCTTTCTCCCATGACTGCTAATCATTATGCTCCTCACTTTATATCCGGTAGCTTTAATTTATTTGTACATTTGACTAAGCTTCTGTTTCGTAAGCATTGAAACGCGATATGATGCAGATCGTATGATCAAACAAACACAGGACGGTAGTGGCCAGCTATCAATTGCTCACGTACCTTAATTATTAACTGGACGATTAATTATACGTAAAAAATATGTAATTTTTATCGTTTTCAAAGAGACACGCGAGTTAACGTGAATCGAATTGGTATTTACGGTTGTCAATGTCATCGATGATTCATGCATAATTATCTGATTTTTCATTAAATTCTGTTTTGATCGTATCTCTTCTTTACGCGAGAGATTTAACTTCTCTGTTAAAATTTTATGAAGTGAACGATTTCAATGTTTTCAAGCAATGCAAGGCGAACGCACCGGTATCGCAAAGTGAAAGTATGGAGCGTGTAGTAATATTTAAGTAAATTATAAAACTACGAGTTCCAGCCTATTGCAGATCGTATTTGACGGAATCTAATTGTACTATCTTTCTCTAATTGTTTCTCTTGGATGTTTTACAATAAAGTAAACTCATAGCAAACATTCCTGTTTCTCGTTAGTTTCCCTTTAAATGTTTCGCTTTAATTTTCTCCCTCCTTCGGAACACGGATCCTCTTCCCTTCAGCTACAATCCCCTTTTTGAAGCCTTTGGGGATGAGAGCAAATCCCAGACGTAGGGTGTTGAAAACTATAAGCTAGCTTCATATACTATAAACATAAACGCGCAAATCGAAGGTGTAGTTTAAAACGAAAGTCGAGAATACGTAAACTGCTTCTGGCAGTTCAGCTTTCGCTCATAAAATGACTCATGAATTTTTTTATTTGGAGATAAATGTTGTTTAGCTATCATTTAAGGATGTATTGGCTATACAGTCAATCCCAAAAGTTTATGTACCTTAGAAAAACGCATTTCCTATAATTAAAAAGAAATCAGACGTCGGAAGAATAATGCTAATAATAAATAGCTACGTGCTAAAAAGTATAGAAGGAAATATCCAATTAAGTATTGACGCTGACGAAAATTTTTTTTTTCAAAATTGCGAAAAATGCTTCAAATAAAAGTTGTTTTCCTTCTAACTTCGATATTTAACGAGTTACGTATGATTATTTGGCATTTTATTGATGTTGACAAAATCCGACCATCCCAGCGTCGAAACGGCGAACTTTTGGCAAAAAATTTCATTTTTCCTTAATTACTCCTAAACCGTTGAATCTACGGGAAAATTGTATANTATTAGCAATGTTCTTTCGACGTCTGATTTCTTTTTAAAAAATGCGTTTCTAAAGTGCATAAACTTTTGGGATTGACTGTATAGCCAATACATCCTTAATAGACCATGTGGAAAGCGTTGACGCGGTCATCTGTTTCAGAAAAGACCGAACTACTAAAAAATATCAGCGGCGAATTCAGACCCGGCGAACTCTCGGCAATTATGGGACTGTCCGGTGCTGGAAAATCCACGTTAATGGATGTTCTAGCTGGTTTCACGTTAGTAGATATACTAGTTTTTACTTACATCACGTTATCATTCTCTATCTACTAGTTATACAATTAAACTGTTCGTATTGTACATTGAACAATTCATTCTAAATGTTTAGAGACACCAGTGCATAAGCCATGTTAGATTAGCTCGCTATTATTTTATTTTGTTAATTCGATTGACAGCATGTAATTATAAATTGTGAGAATTCGAGTTTTGAACTTATGATTACTGGAAATATCGTATATCTTTGACCTATAGTGATCTTGCCGCGATCCTAAACTCAAGTATTAGCAATCGAAGATAACGTTCGACAAAATTGGAATCTTGAATGATAAAGTTCCGATGAAAATGGTTTTAAACCTTACTTTGTAAGACGTTCCGAAATAACGTAATCAAACGGCTCGCAAGTTGTATAAATGTGGCAGCTGAACAAATGAGATTAGAAGAGGGCTTGGATAAGAAATCCATGCGTCGATACGCGTCCAGGTTTCAAACAGGTGTACCTTATCTCACTAATTGTAATTGCACTGTTAATCCCTGTATTTCAAATTATCTAATTACGAAATAAATAAATATTATTACTGTTCATCACATATTATTTATTCTAAGTACATATGGTATTAATTAAATTGGATAAAGTTTTCGTGGAAGTTGTTTGCGAAAATGGTGTGACTGTAGCAATCAAAATGTGATTACGGTATTCTTTTTCACTGTTCGATTAAACTAAACGGACAGCCTGCATTTCCATTGCGCGGACATCAGAGTGCAATAATTGCGACGTTCGCTGGTGAAAATATAGTTATCGCCGATAAACCTGCATGACCAGAGAAATGTTTTAAATTATAAATGAATGATAAACGCTATTCGCAGCAACTCTCATTGCGTGCAATTACATTCCGTTTTATACGTAGCTAATTTCCTCGAATAGTTCAGCGCATTTACTTTGTTTCTTCAATTAATAAAAAATTAAAAACGGTGCGAATATCTTGCCAACTTATTTTTAATTCACTGTTATTATCGAATATTTTTCTCTTCTAATCTAGTTAATTAAAAAAAAAAATCGTATCTGATAAACCATTCTGCACAGTATGGGATATCTTAGGTGATTCTCTACTTTGTGCAATATCTTAAGTAGGTTGATTGAACGCGCTCTAAATTAACCATTGTGGTTTATCGGGCCACTTGCAAGTGCGTTCAAGTAATCAGAGCAAATGAGCACATTTGCCTATGCACGTTTCTCGATAGTTTTCGTTACAGAGATAAAATGGTTGTGTCTTCTAAATAAATCTAGCTAACTAGACTAAATACCTACTAACGAGAATTAGAACAATGAGGATGAATATGATTTGTTTTTCAGAACGGCTGGTGTAACCGGGAATATAATGGTCAATTCGAAAGCTAGGAATCTCAATGAATTTCGACAGCTGTCCGCGTATATAATGCAAAACGATAATTTGCAGCCGCTGTTAACCGTTCAAGAAGCTATGAACGTCGCTGCTGAATTGAAACTTACCATGAGTCACAGAGAAAAAAAACAGAAGGTACAAATAATTTTGTTATTAGCTGTTTAACTTACATTGTTTCTACGCTATTATTCTGTAAGTAGCTCGGGAGTTATTTGTGCTAACCCACAACGCTCAAAATAATTGAAAAATTACTTGTTAAAGTGGCTTGTATTGACTATAGCTCAATCGTAGTTAAGTGGGTACTCAAGGTCAATGGAGAATAGCTTTTTATTTCTTACGATCAATTTAATTTCGTGTTTTTCGATACACCAGCCGTGTACGATTTCAGATCGATCATCTCTTAATCACGATGAATCTTGACACATCGCGGCACACGCTCACGGGGAAGCTCAGCGGCGGAGAAAGGAAAAGGCTGGCTATTGCATTAGAATTAATAAACAGTCCTCCGATTCTGCTCCTCGACGAGCCAACTAGGTATCTATTCAACGCTTCGTCCAACAACCCCAACATAAATAATCTCTTAGTAAAAAGAAGATATAACAATTACTATGATATAATTGGATGCTTGTTATAGCGGACTGGACAGCGTCACTTCGAAGTACTGTATAACGTTGCTGAAGCAACTGGCAAAGGCGGGGCAAACAGTGATTTGCTCTATTCATCAGCCTAGCGCGTCGCTCTTGAATATGGTCGATCACCTTTATGTGGTGGCGGACGGAAGTTGTGTCTACAACGGTAGCACGCAGAATTTAGTGCCTTATTTGAGCAGCCTCGGCCTGCAGTGTCCGACACACTATAATCCCGCAGACTATTGTAAGTAACTGCTCGTAAGTAAATGGAAATTGGCCGTTCTTAAACATCCGTGTCACTTCCGTTGATAATTTATAACGATGTCTGTGAATGAAGCGGTGTAATTTAAGGAGTCGGTATCGCGCTCGAATAAAGAAAAAGAGATTCTTTCTTTAACAGTGTTGGAAATCTGCAACGGAGATTACGGCAAACACGTACCGGAGATGGTCGTTGCCATCGAGAATGGGAAAAATAACTCATGGAGGTCGACAAGCAATGTAACCGCCGTCAATTGCCAAGAGGAAGTGATCGCTTTGAACGTGACGGCATCGTTTCAGGCGCTCCGGCAACGTTTTCCGATGGAGATACAGAACGTGAGCGGTAGACGCGAGAAGACCGCTGACTATGCCACCAATTTTTGGAAACAACTAGTCATACTCCTTAAAAGGAACGCTATCAGGCTCTCCAGGGATAAGGTAATGGAGAGCTTGTTTCTGAAAATCTCGATCATAATGTAAATACAACTTGTTCTCGCATTAAGTTGAATCATATATTCAGGTGTAAAATCGCTTTACTTTGATATAGAGGGCAAAATGTTTGCTCGTAAGAATTAATGGAATAGTATTAACAGATTTATGTGATTCTTGTATATATTATACTCGTTACATGTGTGTATCGACACGTTCTGCATGAATAAAAATAGATGCCTAGCTAGCCGGACTGTATCGGATACGGAAATATGAAATATTGATAAAGCGGGATAGTAAATTATTGAAGCACGACATTTATTAAGTAATAGCACCTTCGAAAAGATGCTCCGTAACGTTCCTATTCTGACTTGTATTGTTTTTATTTGGCTCGAATATCAAATAGGAGTTATTCCCGTGAATTATATTCGATTACTGGAAGCACGTCGATGAACAGGTAAAACTTGTGTAATGTTTGTAAAGAAATGCGATACGTGAAGAAGCTGTGCTCAGCAACTGGTAGTGCGGCCGCAGGGATAGTTGACCTTGTTCAGAGCATGATATTTCAGTGGTTTGCGCAAGGTGTAACGGATATATTTACAATATTATAAAATTAATATTTTTTAATATCTCCGACATCGAATTCGTTTCATACAATTTTATCCCCAGGTATTAACGTTTACAAGACTTTCGATGCATTTTGTAATCGCCCTGCTCGTCGGCGTGATCTACTTCAAAGTTGGCCAGGACGCTGTGTACGTGTTGGATAACTTCAACCTTCTATTTTTTAATATAATGTTCCTCATGTTCAGCGCATTTAGTGCAACGGTGACAACATGTAAGTCGAAATTACTTAAATTAACGTGCTGTTCACGAGATCAAGTGCACGTAATAACATTAGAATTTATAATGATGCAGTTCCCTCGGAGTTACCGGTGATCATGCGGGAGCACTTCAATCGCTGGTATAAGTTACACTCGTTCTATCTCGCCAATAAGTTGGCCGACATTCCCATTCAGTTCACAGCTATTTCGTCGTACATTCTCATCGTATATTACATGAGCGATCAACTCTTGGAACTCCATCGATTTTGTCTCTATACCTTAATGTGTTTCGCGATCAGCATGGTGGCACAAATGTTCGGCCTTCTGGTTGGAACTGGAATGAAAATCCAGGTTCGTCTGAAGATACATCAAAACGATTGTGTGATTGTTTTATTTCGTTTCTCCCGTTTTAGCACGGTATGATATTTGGACCGTTCGTGATCCTCCCGTTCTTAATATTTAGTGGATTCTTCGTACAATTCAGAGACGCTCATCCGTACTTACGATGGCTGTTCCATTTGTCTTTTCTTAAGTATGGTTTCGAGGGTGTGATGATCGCTATTTACGGGTAAATATGCACAGAATAATTGATTGGGCAGATTAATATAAGTGAAGTTCTAGTAATAACGCGAGATCTTATAATTCTAGTTACGACAGACCAAAGCTTTCATGCTCAGACGTTTATTGCCATTTCGCTATACCAGAGACATTGTTAAACGCCGTCGACATGAAACAGGCTAATTACTGGTTCTGTTTAGTCGTGTTACTCTGTCTGTATATAATGTTGGACATTGGAACGTACACATTACTCAAATTGAGGCTGGAGAAACGTGTATAAAGAAAGAAGAAATTCGGAATCATGAGTGAGATTCTAAACGGAAACATTTTTATTCTATTCGTGCTGTGTTCAGTGTAAATAGAACAGTACAAAATGAATCATTATTGAAGACTGACTTCTAAAACATTCTGCAAAAGTAAAAGGAAACAATTCTTTTGTACAGAGTGTTTACTATAAAGAAAGAATAATGAAATTATATATGCATTTATTGACATTTTATTAAATGAATAATGCTTCATTTGTATAGAAATAATGATGCCGTCATCACGAGATTATGGTATTGATGATATCCTTCCGATGCTGCGTTTCGTTCCCAACGATAACTGCGCGGATGTTTTGTATAAATTACGTGACATGAAACGCGATGTGCATAAATACATATCATCTATTAAAGTCTAATGAAATGCAGTTTCGTACATCTATCTTTATAAATCGGGATATGTAAAGGTATTAATGAAGGAAGAAAACGTGTTATACAACAATCTGTTATTAAAGAAATTAACACGTTTCTTGCTTATTAAAAATCTAGCATTAGACAATGCAAGAAATGAAACATCAAAAAACCAAATACGTGAGTTGTTGTTAGATCATTTCTAAGTCACGCGATGTTTAAATTTTATATGTGATTTTTATTCCCAATGAATATGTACAACTGAATATTGTTCAGCGTTGATGAAAATAAATTCCAATGCTGTTGAGTGTAAGCATGTTACTTCTATTTCCATCATAACGATCCCTCCTAACAAATTAAAAATCGCCTCCTACGTGGAGACGATCCTCCGCATCAAGAAGCGAGAAAGAGAAATGGCACCAACACATATCGGTAGTGGAAAAACGCCTTAGAGTCTAAAATCTGACTCCTGCCCGTAGGTCCTAGTGATAAGTATCCGGGCAGGAAGTCCAGTTATGTTGGAGCGGGTGAGATTTTTTGTATTTTTTGTCGATGCGGTGCACTGCTCCGACGATGTGTTCCATACGGAGAGCGCTCACCGCTACTTATAGGACGTGAAAGTATACACCTTCTTAAAAAAAAACAATTATTGTTATCTGACGTTCCCTTCTTTTAGATTTCTAAGTGCATTTCAAATGCACATGTAGCGAGTAATTAATTCTTGCAAAAGATGAAATACTCAACTGAACTAACTTTTCCATTCAAGGCCGAACGCGAACAGATACGATATTGTGCGCAGCGAGAAAGTTATAACGTCACTACATCGGCCAGTTAAACGGCAATCGTCTGCCGCGAACGGCGAATTCGTTCACATCGCAGTAGTAAGCAAGCAAAGCGCGTGTTGAAAATACTTCTATCTCGTCCAAAGATATACGAATACGAATAAACGAAGAACAAAATAACATAGAAATCACGAGTTATCATTAATTAACTGAACGCTATCGTTGAAATCTGTTTATACAGTGAATAATGTGTATTTTGACTTTTTATCGAAAGAGTGCTTTTGTAGTGCGCGAAACATAAAAAATATTGACACTGTCTCACAGTGTATCGATTGATCCATAGATCAATGCATCTATTTTTGATAATTTTACCTTTTAAAACATTCCGGAATTTTAATTTTCTGAAAACGTGACGACGTTTTAAGTGCAATGTTGACAGCGTGTATTCTTGACAGGAAGTTAGTAGAGAAAATTCTGTAAGTCAGTAGATTATGCCGAAGTGCAAACTTCTGATGACTATATGGGCTGCGTGTGTGATAACGTAGTGCAGCGAAGATAAATGCTTAGTCTCGTAGAGTAAATTCCAGTGGTTTACCTCGACGATTGGTTTAAGTAGTTAAGAGGCGGTGAGCGTTGAAATTTGATATGGACGCGTACCGCAACGACGACGCTATTGTCGTTCCAGCTGTGAGAACCGATGAAGATGAGTGCACGATTCGATTAAGGGAGAATCAGGATTTTTTTAACGGAGACGTCGAAGCGATTACCAGGATGCACGTTGAGTTCGACGATCTCTCGTACACCGTCTCGCCCACTAAAGGTGAGTGAACGCACTTTCATCTGCGCTTCCACTTGTATTTTATAGAAGCAACAGAACAGTTTTGAAGTATTTCTTGAGATAAAACGTCGATATAGATCAAACAATACAGTATCGATTTATTGAAAAATCAAATGAAAAACAAAGAAAGAAGAAAGACTCTTGATTTTGATAAAATTTGATAGTATGTACTTGTTGCATTCGAATAATATTTCGTAACAAGTTGTTTCATTTATCTCCGTAGATTATTTGCGTAGCGTACAAGCTGTCAATAAAAATTGACTTTGACTTATGATTGGCGATAACGTGATCGGATTGATCATATGAATGTAATACCGTACTGGTATTGAAAATAACGCTTGCAGAATATTTAGGTCGAAGTTGATAGGTGTTAGATAAGATTGAGGGCATACACGTTGTGTTGTGATTTCATTCATAATTCAGATTTTCGTCTGGTCTCGAATCTTGGTATTTTTACAGCAAAGTCGAAAAGAGTATTAGAGAACGTGACAGGATGTTTTCGTCCTGAGAGATTGACGGTGATCGTCGGTCCTTCCGGTGCCGGAAAAACCACGCTGCTTCGAATTGTATCCACCTTGAAGACGAATAACGTCAAAGGCACGATCACTGTTAACGGGAAGGAATGGAACCGCAATGTATTTCGGAAGAAAACTTGTTTCCTACCGCAAGAGTTCGAGCTCTCGCCTCTGCTCACTGTCCGTGAAACGCTGCACATTGCGACGCGTTTAAAAGTTCAAGGCGCCCGTGAACCTCGCGCCTTCTCCTTCATCGTACGTTCGACATGTAAATTCGCTACATCAAATCGTTGAGAGACAATAACATAAAGTAATCGCTTGCCACAACGCAAAATTAGATTATACATTTAGATAACGCGCGGTTCAAAGTTTCAACTAACATTGTGCGAGTAAGGATGAAATCATGAAATGGATGATTCAAATTTTGCGAGAAGTGGAAATAAAAAAAATTAAAGGCTCAAGGAACGAACTGAATAAAAGAAATTTCTTATTTCTTCAGGTATCAGAGATAGCGGAGAATTTAAATTTGACAAACTGCTTGGGTACTTTGGTAGAGAATTTAAGCGGTGGAGAACGGAAAAGATTGTCGATCGGCATTGAAATAGTTACGAGACCGTCCGTTTTGTTGCTCGATGAGCCGACCAGTGGCCTCGACAGTGCGTCGTCGAATCAGGTCCATAACAATGATTAACAAATTCTCACTTGTTACTTTGCATAAATTCTAAGGAAGAGGATAGATCTAGAATATGATGATATACCCCGAATAGGTAATTGGATTGCTGCATAAAATAGCGAGAGGCGGGTGCACTGTTGCTTGTGCAATTCATCAACCCAGCAGTCGCATGATATCGCAATTCGACGATTTGTTAATTATACACAAGGGAACGTCGTATTATTGCGGGGCTTGGGACGACGTTTATAATACCTTCAAGGATGCGGGCTACGTGTGCCCGCGATTTTACAATTTATCCGAGTTTGGTAAATCAATATCAATCTCTCGTTTATTAAAGTATGATATTTAAAGTGATTATAAATTCTGTATTTCAGTCTTGGAAGTGGTGACAGGAGAAAGGGGAGGAGACCTGATAAATTTGTACAAAATTAGTCGTGCCAGATATTCGAATTGGAAAACGCAGTTTCGGCATTCTAACATAGGTACGCATGTTTTAACTTGCAATAATCTTTATATCGAACATGAAAGTATAACGTATTATTTTAGGAACAGAAGTTGTATCAAAATTGGATAATTTTAACACGAAGTCGAAGTCGTCGTCCATCTGGGAAGAACAGAAGGTTTTGTTAATGAGAGCATTCATTACTATCAAACGGGACAATGTGAGTAATTCAAGACTTTGATTCGATCAAATCAGACTTTGCTTCGTTTTTAATTTGCTTGCAGACTTTGACAAAGCTGAGATTTGCTGCACACGTGGTAGTAGCTTTTCTACTAGGTGTAGTGTTTTACGATTCTGGAACGAATGCTAATCGAATTAACAGCAACATAGCTTGTATATTTTTCGTTCTACTGTTCTTGTATTTTTCGAATTCCATGCCGGCTGTGCAAATGTGTAAGTCAGCGCTTTGTTGGCATTCAAAGTCTAAACTGTTGAGAGTCTATAAGAAGATTAATCGTAGAAAAATCTATATTATCGTAAATAATCGATTTGTTCTCAGTTCCGACAGAAGCTGCCGTTTTCTTACGAGAATACTTAAACAACTGGTACCGCTTGAGATCCTACTTCTCTGTAAAAATTATATCGGACTTGCCATTGCAAGTAGGTGTTTATACTGATGAACGATAATTGAAGTTTATTATGTTGTTTTTTTAAAGATCTTTTTTCACAGATTCTTGCACCCTCGGTATTCATCCTTATCACGTATTGCATGACTGGTCAACCGATGGAGTGCGACAGGTTTCTACGTACTTGGCTGATTTGCGTTTTAACGACGATCCTTGGACAATCATCGGGAATGCTCGTCGGCGTGGCATTCAATACACACGTAATAAAAACAAAGTCAAAACGCGTTGCATATGTTGATCGGCGTAGAATCATAATGCTAGTTGCATTGAAAACGTCTTATGCAACGCATCAGCATATCGACTAAACTCATGACGAATTCAAATGATTAAAGACGGCATTGAGTAGAATCTGACGAAGCCTATTGGTACTTTCAGTTAGGAGTTTTCCTGATTCCCGCGGTCAATATGCCGATAATACTGTTCGCCGGATTCTTTCTGAAATTCAGCGAAGTGACGCCATTCCTTCGACCTCTGTGCTCCATTAGTTTCTTTAGGTACATGCATATTTCTTTTATAAATGAAACAAAGGAAATTCTTTTAAATTTTATTGCCGTAGGTATGCGTTCGAAGGTATTCTGCAGGCAATTTACGATGGAGACAGGGAGAAATTGCAATGTCACGAAGACTACTGCCATTTACGTTCACCTAAACAAATCTTGGAATCTATGGACATGCCCACGATTCCTTATTACACGACTGTGTTAGCTTTATGTATATGGATAACATGTTTACAGATTTCCACGTACCTGGTACTTAAATGGAAAGCATATATAGCCAAAAGATAAAATATTTATACATTTTTACAAATATAACGCTTATATAATAATTAACCCTTTTGCTACGGCAGTCCGCACTGCGGAGTACCTCCCCATAGAACTGAGACTGCTCTGTAATTATCATTGCCTCAAATAAAATTTATAGACAGAGAGAATAAATAAAATTCTACAAATAACAGTAAAAAACAGTTGCACTTATTATGTGACTACCTAAAAACGGTTTAAAACGGGTCAAACGGACCGAAACAGGGCAAACTGGTCGAATTGGTATTATTCCGGCCCGAAACATAATAAGATAATAATTGAAGACATAAAAAACGAACATCATTTTTATTTAAAAAAATATACATTATTGCTATAAAAAAGTACATATTTACAAATATTTCCTCGTCTCGCATAGAAATTTATAAATAACTATATGTATATCACTTATTTACGTAACACGTCCAATTACGGCAGTGTGCTTTCACCAATAATCAAACGAAATAAAGATTTACGCATATCTTCTTACTGCAATAATGTGCAAATGATAAGGGTGTGCAGGTACTAAAAAATTCGTACACCCGAGCCTTTTCTAAAAAATTTGATCAGCAGATAAAATTCAGTTACCGTCATCATAGGATCAGCGTATCAACTCGGGATCAATTTTGAATTGGCCGAGCCCGACCCGAATTTTCAGACACACCCCTAGCAAGTTAATGAAATTTCCATTGTTCGAAGTATGATGAACCCGTGATGATAGCTAGGGGTTATCATAAATATGATAAACGCGTGTTCGATTACCAGAATCGCGAGTCCAAAGTATTTCCGTAAATATTAATTAGTCTCAATGCCAAAGAAGCCAGAAACTCGCGTAGTCTGGACTAATTATCCACCTATTTTTTTAAATATATTATAAAATAATGGCTTGATGCTTACCAGATTAATTACAAATAGGAAAAGTGTAAAAAATATTTGTGACATCATAAATTATACACGGTTAAGCCTGTACAATACTTATGCGCATAAACGTCTGTATTGTGCATCTGGATACCACAGTTTCTTCCTAAGTAAATTCTTGATTCTACGTACTTACAGATAAAGAATAAGGTCATGATGCATTGATAATTGACGTTCGTTGAGCAATTTCCAAATATCACGTTTGATTTCCGAAAATATCGTTTCGGAAAGTTTCACTGGGCATACGTATTTGTGATAGAATTTACTGAAGGAACGGTTCTTTCAACAATTAATTATACGTATAACAAGTTGCATTGACGTGAAGACATAGATGTCGTTGGAACTTCGAAGTAGAAGATTCTTGATCGTATCGACTGGGAACATTACTTCGTCGAGCGCCTCATTTTAAAACTTGAACATTGCAATTCTGTGTCTCTTTCGAACCGTTTTGAACGGTCAATAATAATTACACAATTTTTTATCGTTCATGAAAAACGAAACAAGAATCTCGAGGAATGCAGTCGTTCGGTTTATCGCAGGGATACAATCTTCCATCTTAGAAGAAGATAAGCGGCACATCGCGTAAAGATAAGTATCGTAACAAGTGCCGCGATATCATTCCAAAATTGATCGGCGTCCATAGCAATATCGGAAAGAAATTTTGAGGGGTACCTGTAATGACAATATAGGATGTTGTCCGCGGTGCAAGGTAACACTGGTCGCCCGAATCCGTATAAGGCGCTTATGAATCTGGAATTCATAAAACCAATCAATGTAGCGTTGAAAATATTTAAGAACATTTTTCAAGCGAATAAGAATAGAAAAATGAACGATACCCTTCAAGTCCGTATCGCAGAAAACTGACGTATGTACCCCATTTGAGATAAATTGGAATGTCGCGTAACGAAACGCCGAATCCAGCGAACATCATTAACGGCACGGATAAAGTTGGTCCTATGAACGTTCCGTTCTAAAATATGAATATTAAACAGGTATTTTAACGAACTGACCATCGCCAAGTTACCCAATTTTTTATATGCTACAGTAATCAATTCGTTAAATACTTACGACTACGTCAAATACTGCTCCGATCATTAGGCCGGTTCCTTGACCAATAAAAGCCACTAGCAAGCTAATGGCGAAGAACATAAAAAACCGTGAGACTTCTAAAGGTTGTGACGAAATGAAATATACTATTAGTGAGAAAACGAAACAACAAAATATCGAAATCGGTAGATCGACCAACGTTAGTGCCGTATAAAACGCTTTTAAGCTGTACCATCTGTTGAAATGTTCTTTTAGTAGGATGCTCATTTGCATTGGAACTGAAAAAAAAATCGTTTCGAGTATTAATGAAGATCTGCATTAATAATTATAAAAATAATCAATTTATGGAGAATTCAAATTACATGTAACTACGGTGAGCATCATAGTGGTCATCATATGATGTATAAGAATAGAAAATAGAAGATTATAATTATCTAAAACTCTGGATCCGTCCATGCCAGTTTGGAGGAAAACCGAACCGAGCATAAAACCGACGGATATGTTGACTAGAATACGTAAGTGTGTTAACGTCTGCAACGAAGAAAAGTTACTATTACGTATGTTAGTCATAATTAAACGACAAATATGTTTTAAACATTTATAACACTCACTGTGTCTCTCTTGCACATGATGAAACCTCTCCAAATTAAAATTTTAATTTGATGTATCAAGGAGGTTGCGTGCAGGGTATTCTCACTTTCTGAATTTACATCCTTGCTCATGTGCATCGCTAAGATAAGGAAATACATATTACTTAATATTCTTCCACATATCTATCGCGCTTTAAGCTATAATAATATAATAATAGTAGACATACCCCTTAAGCCTTTTGCATCAAGTAAAGACTCAGGGTTCTCAAACCACTGTAAATTTTTGCCATTTTCTGAGCCCGATATTAGCAATGGTAATTTATCTTCCCCATATTCACCACAAGCCAATTCAATTACTACAGAGAAAAATCATATAAATAATCTGTACGAATTAAATTTCAAACGTAAATGTAAAATTAAACTTGTACCATAATCTGCCGGATTGTGGTACATAGGACACGGCAATTTGATGTTCTCTAAGTAGGGAATCATCTGACTGGTTGCACCATGGAACAAACATTCTCCTCTCGCTAATACGTATACCTATAATAGGTAATACAAAGCAAAAAAAACTTAAAATCGTGATACGTAAATACAAAAAATTAAGATCAAAGATGTGGTAAATAAACACCTATTTAATTAAAACTAAAGAAAAGAGAAGAATAAAAAATTTAATGACTGCAAAGAGGCAAACAAAATATCCAAGTAACAGGATGCATATGTATAACAAAGAGTGTCTCGTACCAAATCGAAAATCTGAAAGAGCGATGCATTCGGCTGATGAATCGTACAGATAATCGTCCTTCCTTGTCGCGCGAGCAGCTTCAGCAGCTTCACCACTTGCATACACGATGAACTATCCAAACCTCTGGAAGAATAAATATGCCCGGTGATGAAATTGTTAATTTTGGAACTAAACGCCAAAGCAAAAATAAAGGTATTAATGAGAACGGGAAACAAACGAGTGCACGGGCGCGAATCTGAAGTTCTAAAATTTCACCTTGCCTTAATGCTCTCCTTCATGTGCTTCAAAAAAATTTATATTTCGAATGTGAATCGAGATCAAGCTGAGTACGGTATGAGTAAAATGTGAGGTGTGTTCACACATGCATATACATACATACATACATATAAGATGAATAACGGCTGAAGCAAGACTCTGGTGAGAGCCCACGTTACAGCTATGAAAGTGAATAGAGATTATGTGAGAAGCACGTGTAGGTGGTAGAATGCCCAGTTTTGTTACACGTGAGTTTCATGTACATATACATATATGGTGAATAAATGGTTTATGCAACATCATATGCAGATCTGTGAATCATCACACAGTTAAAAAAGATGTAGAAATCTCGAACGGATTCGTATTCTACATTGTTATTTCCACGAGATTTTACGTCGTTATGAGTGCAGAATATTTTTCTCCGATGTAACTGTACTTACGTTGTCGGTTCGTCGAGAAACATAACGGTCGGATTGTTAACTAACTCCAGCGCAATGGACAGTCTCTTCCTTTGACCACCGCTTAATCTCTCGGTTCGCGTGTTTATGTGCTCATGCAAGCCTAAAGTAGTGAGGATCTCTTCGATCTAAAGTAGAATTTTAACATCTTTTGTAAACTCATACGAAAGAGAGGAAGGATAATTGACGAGTGAAGAGTCGAGTGTTAATTATCAGTAATTCGACTTGAACTTTACTCAGTTCTGCCTTTCTTTGTTTAGTAGAAAACATGCTAATATCCACATTACTCATTGGCACAGAAAGACTGATCAGCGGAATGAATTTCATTAAACTTCGGAAAGCAATAGTTCAACAAACACTCTACTGTTCCCACGTGCCGGAGCTACGTTTATCTTATCACGCTCTCGTGTTGCAATTGGTCAACGATGCGATTCGAGTATTTAGATCTTGGCAATCGACCCTGCGGAACAAGACCCGCTACTTACTATCGTTTCCTTCTCGTATCTGGGTGTATTCGTGGGCAGTTTGAGGTCAGCGGCGACCCTCATGTTCTCGATGACGGTCAACAATGCCTCTAAGCGATCGTCTTGAGTGATGTATGCGCTACATCTGTGACGATCGTGCGTTTTATTAGAATAAAGTTATTAAAATTCATGACATCTATGTATCAAATAAACATTATCAATCACCTATTTATTCCGAGAAAGAGAACTTAAATATTCAATATCTGAGAACGATTACATCTGCTATAAAATACTGCAAATCCCAATACGAAGCACATAAATCGTCTTGCACTTAATTGACCGCGGAAAGCAATTTCCGAAGATACTCACTTCCGAAACGAGTTCATGTTACGGGCTCGGCCGTTGATGTAAACGTTTCCACTGACGCCGGTCGTCCTGAATCCCGACAGGATATCTAGCAAGGTTGACTTCCCTGCCCCGGATGGGCCCATTAAGGCGATTAAGTTTTTCGCTGGAAGTCTTCCATTGATTCCGTGTAATATCTCTTTCTGGCCTGCAACGCGTTCTATTATAACTTACGGAGTACGCCTTGTCAATTATAGTGATTAGGCAATTGCCTCGTAATTATACGGAACTCGGTCTTTGATTGAAGTCGAATAAGGAAATGTTAAAGAAACATATTTATTCAATTTCTCTTAAGCAAACGCAAAAAGCTGTTAATATTTCCTTTATGCTTTATTAACACTTCAATCTTCTTTTGACTAGAATAGATCGTAAAAATCTTTGCCTATGCCTATAAAAATCAACGCGTTAAGTAACAGAATAAAAAACCAAACGGTTTGCGTACAAATCTAAAGTAACTGACGATCTAGTAAAACCGACTAGTATGATTTAAGGATGTATTGGCTAAACAGTCAATCCCAAAAGTTTATGCACTTTAGAAACGCATTTTTTAAAAAGAAATCAGACGTCGGACAAACATTGCAAATAATAAACAACAAAAAAAAAATTTTCGATTTTTCCCAGATTTTTCCAAGGGGTACCCCTTCAATTTCTTCCAAATTTTCGTTTCTTGCCAATACCTCCCAAACGGATGGACTTAGGGGGACATTTATAGGACCATTTTGTAGAGGACAACGAGATCTACAATTTCTGTATAAAAATTCTTCGCTAGCGTCAATAGTTAACGAGTAATTTGCAAAAAACTGTTTCCTCGTTTTTCGTCAATAACTCGTTAAATATTGATGCTAGCGAAGAATTTTTATACAGAAATTGTACATCTCGTCGTCCTCTACAAAAAAGGTTGTATACAATTTTCTCGTAGATCCAACGGTTTAGGAGTTATTAAGGAAAAATGAAATTTTTTGCCAAAAGTTCGTCATTTCGACGCTGGGATGGTCGGATTTTGTCAACATGAATAGAATGCCAAATAATCATATGTAACTCGTTGTGCTTATCAACGCCTATCGTTTTAACATAATATGATGTACACGTAAATAAAAGTAGATCGGATAGAGAATTGACCTTTTCTGAAGCCAAGTGACACGTTGTACGAAATGTTTTCGAAGCTAATATCGATGGTGTCGATCGCGTTGGTTTCCATAAAATGTACACCACCGCTGCCGTTCATTTTTTCGTTTTCCATCATTCTCGTCGCCTGTTTGTTCGGCGTGGCGTAAATCTGCGGGTCGACCATGTTTTTGGTCTCTTGGCCATTGATAGCCTCATGCATTAGCACTTCCATCGTCGAGCTGGTGAAGTGACTGGAGACTATCAACCTTCGAACGTTTCAGTCAGTCGAACATAGGCGAACAGGACTGTAATACCATAATTAAAGAGACTGCATGAGCACTCATGGTGAAAATTATGGTGGAAGTATGTAACATTCAACAATTCGAAACTGCTTGGTCAATTTTTAAGTAATTACTATTATTATTAAAGAGATTTTTAGGTAGCGGTCAATAAAATATTTCGAATTAGCCGAGGTAATTTCTTGTTTATGCAATAAAACCGAATATCGAATTGCATCAACCAATTATTGTAATTAAACAAGTGTCTTAGGATTAATGAACCAGATGTCCGAAATGGATTGATGACGGTGATCCGTTTGAATTTTTATTAAAAACGCGGAGATTAAACCATCGTAAAAATACTCGGATGATTTCCAAAGTCATGCAAAGAATGACACTGATAAACGATTCGACAAATCGATAATTCCAATGACGGAAACTTGAATGGGAGTTAATCATTAGCGAGAGACATAAGTCATCTCCGTAGACGGAGGAAGAAGGCGAGTCGATGGAATTTTATGTCCTATTCATTAAAAGAAACGGTACAAAAAGCATACACGTCAAAATTGTAAATAACAGTTTCATACAAAATCCAATGGATGTTTCACAATGACTAATAAAATGATTATACCGTTAAAATGAATTAAATATGTCACAACAAAAACATATAAAAACAATTTCGTATTCTTTCTACACGCGACAAGTATCATAACAGGTTTTATTCCTAAAACGTGGGTAGTTAAAATTTCAGAACACGGCTTCCGGTGTTTTGTATGTCCGACAGTAAGTCCCCAAACAAAGGAGGCACTTATCTTCACTTGTCACTATTACAAGTTGATCTAGAACGCAAGATATAGTTGGTCAACTATTTCCGGAGGAAACGTCCACCGATTTTTATTCACGTTCATCCCTGTTTGCGAAAAATCAGTTGCAATTCTAGCTATATCTATGCAATCCAATTAAAAAAAAGATAGTGACATCAATTTGCAATTCCTGTGAATATTGACATAATCAATTTTTACGCCATGCTTACCACAAAAAGAAAGCGTATGGATATAGGTCATAAGAGGTTCATAGTTAATGAGAATTAATCGGAGTTGCATTTTCATATGTGTCAATCATGTAAGAAAAAAATGTAATACTTAATTTATTGCAAGATAGATACAATCAAGAGAACCTAAGCACAGCTGTTATTAATAATTCATTCGATAATACGATATATGAATAATTGGGGAGAAGCTCATTATGAATATGCGATTAGATTAGATTAACAGATGTATGAAAATTATACTTTTATATAATCAAGTCTAATAGATAAATTAACTTCGGAACGAGTAACACGTACACGTTGACATGACCGTGGATGCATGTTGCAATTAAGTGTGATAAATACGTTGTCAGTAAATCGGAAAACATATGTGCGGCATCGTTAGGGAAGTATCAACGACATTGAAACGGTTGATCATAGTACGAACTTCCTCGAAGAGAACAAAGTGGCCTATCTCCGCGGTGATAACGGTAATCTTGTTTATGGAATTAAACGACGATCATTGTTTCAGAAAGTTCAACCGAGCTCTAGCGCTGTCCACTTGCTTTGATTGAAATAATTTGTTAGGACGAGTGCACGTGGTTCTACTCAAGCTCGTCGTATTTGTTTTGTCATATAAAAATTGATTTCAAAAGGTCATGGCTATTTTATCTTAAACAAAAATGATATTTTATGATAAACGTAAAAAGAAACGATGCCAGAAATACGTTACTCATACGCAAATGGCCCATCGAGACAATGCAATGGTGATGAGTTCGAAGTACATCGGACATCAATACTTATCGCGGGAAATGAATCAACAATGAAAGTCCAACAGAGATCGGCAGAAAGATCGAAGCCACTGTTGTTTATGAGGATTATGATATAATTCAAGTTCAGCGTTTAGTATTCTTGTCACATAGCGTGCGTACCGTAACAAATATTGTTACACGACGATTTTTTGCTGGTAAACCAATTTTATTTTATTTTGAATGATCCTGTTTACGAGTTTGGATACGTATGGCTGCAAATTATTTATGTCCTAATTTGTTTAGATCATACAGATTTTTACGAGCGACGTTTACTTATTTTCTAGATCTTAATAAAATCATACCATTTGTATTAAGTACTCGACGCATGAATGAGCTATGATTTATTAAATAAAGCACAGCGATGCAATTTGTGTTAATCATGTCTTCAGTTCTTCAGTAACGAGCAGGATGATTCCTATACATAATAGTAACATATAATTAAACGAATTACTCTTTTCGTAAGAATACATTGACCGCTTTCTAGTAGTATTATCCGCTGTTTTCTAAAAAGATTTGCATAATATTCCGTTTATTGCGTGCGACCGCACTTTCGCTGGGGTCAACGGAACGAACGCGATGCTAAACGACAAGGGAGACCTGGGAATACCGCCAGAGTAAATCTTTGTGATTCACAGTCCAAAAACAGTGGGATTACTCGTAAAATTTCCCTTGCAAATTTTTAGTACACATTGAAACGTGTAATGTTCATAATGAACCGAGATTTTACATGCTTAGAGAACCCGTTTAAGTGCCTACTTTTACAAGACAGCTATTAGTGTCATTATGCAGATAAATCAGTTTTACTAACAATTCCGAGAGGAAAATGATTAATTATGAAATTGATTAGAATAATCGACGTCCGCGTACAAGGTTCGAAATTTTATTATCTTGATTACTCATCGACGAGTTGCACATGTTTCCTGATATTTAGCGTGTACATTAGTCACATCGTACACAACTCGTAAGAAATACCAGTCGACTTTTGTACCTTTCGTATTTTCTATCTACGATTTGCTATATCCAACGTCAGAACGTCAGTACAGTTAAATTATAATTAAACGTTGTTATTCTTGGTGCATAGCTTCGACAACGACAACATATTTATCGTTAATTTGTAGAAGGGAAAACGGTAATGCGTCTTATGTCTTTACTAAAATAAATGTCACAATCATAGTCAACTGTAAACAGACAACAATTTACCATTTTACGATTATGTCGAGTACGTTGACGTTCACGATGCACTTTGAACACATGATGCACATCGGAAACAAAGTACATTTCAACGGATTGTCTTGAGAATCGCAAATAACACACGGAAATATAATCTCGGAGATACGCGGACGAAAAAAATTAATCTCGAATTTATTTATTGATCGTACGACGTTTTAGAGTTCAACTTATCAACACGTAAGTTTAGCACACGCTTGTACTGATATTTTTAATGAATCATCTAGAAGTTTTATAACTTATACAAGCGAGAACAAAATATGCAAAATTAGAGGTAAATAAGCGGAAGCGAATAATTGAAAGGGAATAAGAAATAGGTAATTAATTTCAATGACCGACAAATTTGATGTATCTACGTAGGAATAGTAAACGAACTTAAAGGAACGTTTAGGTTGAATAACTGAATGAAATTTTTTATTCTTGCACTTAATCATTCGCAATTAAGATCTTGTTTTTAATACGTTACATTATTTCGCGTTAGTGCCATAAATTGAGAAAAAGATTGATAAATTATGCATTCCCGTATTTCGTGCTACTAATTCTTTGTAACGAGCATGTAAAAGCGGATGTGTTACTTTTTTCAAAGGATCCAAGATTAGATTGATTCATGTCACGATTAAAGTAAGAAAATTTAGTAAAAACACGTTGATTCGGCAAGTTCCTAGGTATATTTTAAAAATCTAAATATAACCAAACCATTTTTATTAGTTAATTAAATAGTCACGTGAAGATATTTATTTTCTGCGGAGAAACGTTTGGCTCCGTTTGGATAAGAAATATCTAATACATTTTATCAGTTGCTGATTCTATTACAAGTGGTCGTAATACGACAAAGTTTCGTAATTACGAGCGACGTTGACTAGTACCACGTTCCAGTGAATTTTTCATTATCAATTCAGATCGAATCCTCAGTTAAACACATTGGCTTAGCTGATAACGCAATAACGATTAATAACATTGGAGTAAGTAAGTATATAGCGTGCTAACAAAGTTCACTCGGTCGTTTCATGATTTACTGTGAGACCTCGATATCGACGTTAACGATCCAATCCTAAGTCCGATAAACGATTGTTCTCCAGTAAAGTAACAGTATAAATAAAATTACGTCGAACATTCACCATTCCAAACCGAATATAAAATAATAATCTGCATTTGAACGAAAAATGAAATAAAATCGTTTTGTTGAAAGCTATCTATTTACTCTGTGCGAAAATAACCAGAGTTTTTAATCGTCGCACGAACAATTATTGATTAAATGTTTCTAAATCGTCAACAATAGCAGTATTCTTTAATCAAGTATTAAAATTCAATCGTTAACTCGATTTTCTTTCAATCATTTTCATTTTTAATTAGTCAAATTCGAATAAAAAACCAAACGTCAATTCCCAATTGGTGTTCAATTGAATTAAAAATTTAATCATTTATCTACAACCCTGCCCAGGTGTCCTATTGATTTATTACGCTTTTAATTCTTATAATCTGATACCATGTACGCGTCAAGATACGTACAAAATAAACGAGATCTAAATTAATCGATCTCTCTTCGATGATTAAATTCATATTCCCATCCGTTCTTGAATGTATTCAAAAGTTTACGACGAGTGATTGAAGGAAATTAAAGTATTTGAACGATCAAATGAAATGACAATATAATTATGATATTCTGATAGACTGTGGAATTATCAAGCATCACTTTTGGTATTTTATGCTGCGCGATCGGATACAGGTTCGCTCGCTCAAAATTGGAAATGATCTTGCCTCATCTCAGAGAACTTCCTAGAAAGGTACTTAGAAGTAGGACAAGATGGACGATGTATGAAGTGCAAAAACGGGTTTGTAAATGAGTCACTTAAGGTCTTATCTGAAGAAATCTCGAGGGATACTCCATACCATTAATATATAGTAATATTTTATTAATCTTCTCATATTTCATGAAGAATCAAATCAACCTTTGGAACATAGTTTCGGCTTATTAGTTTGTGATAGAAGTTTGAAAACGTGTAAATAATGAAGAAAAGAATGTATGAACTTATGAAATAAATTCCTCATGCTATTTATTGTTTTGCAGCGAAAGTGATCGCGTTTTACTGCACGCGACCCGTAATCGTTTTTAGTTGTCTTCAAATGGAATGACAGTTTCCCGGTTGACTTCCAACCCTACGGTAATTAAACATGCTACCATAAAGAATTAAAAATCTACACGACGCTGTTGCTCAATCGCGGATGTAAAAGACCCTTACTAACTCGATCCATTGCAAAAGACGGATCAAGTAAGAAATTCCCGGACTTCACGAACCGGTTGTTAAGAAAATTAACTTCAAGCGAGTAACTGTGATCTTTCTACTTTCTTTTCTATTTTCTTGTTCGGTAACGTGAAATGTTTATTACGTGCTCGATCTACGTGCATGCGAGAAACATTGAACAATACGCTTACCGGAACGATGCGAAAAAAGCGGGCAAATCAGACCGTTGCTGTCAGAGCTTAGCCGGGTAATTTCAGCGTTGTTTCACGAGTAATTCAACAGTTATTATGTTCGGACACGCGTGCATTCAAGCCGTTTGAACGCGAGCTTGCAGTGCGAAAGCGCGGGCTAAAGTGCCGCTGACATGACCACTTTTATATACGAAAATTCACTACTCCGAGCGCGTGGCGTACACACCAGACCAGAACCAAACCGCTTCCTACCGACGATCGAATACTGCACTCGTTACTCGTTACGCATGTTCTCCCTTTACTACCTCCCTCTATCACGTCTTTATTCCCCTCACTACTCGGCCCGCCGATCGGAAGCATCTCGCCTTCTTCTTCCAATTCACACGACCACCATACACTCCTGTCATGCTTTTTTACCAGGACCAGAATTACGTTTTTTGCACCTTTCCTACGTCTATTTCAGTCTTTTCTAAATAAATCGTCGGTTACGTATCTTTGACATTTGTACAGACGATCGATCGACGTTATGAGATACGAAAAGACATAAAACGCGATTTATTATTAATCTACTTCTTCTAATCTTATTTCTGCAAGACTATTTGACAAGAAGGAAATGATTTCAAATTTGAATTATCGGCACTTAACGATAGACTTCCTAAGATTCATATTATACAATTACACCTTGTTACTCATGTTTACATTCAATATGTCTGTAAAAGACTATTTGAAAAGAATAAAAAAATCAGAAAAAAAAGGTAGAGTAGTTTTTACATAATGTAGCAGTTCCAAGTTTCAAGAACTTATCCAATACAGATTATTGTCCTTCCATTAGCTAATTCAAATGAAAAATGAGGTACAAAATAAACGAATAACGATTTCGTATGAAGATGAAAGAGTAGCTACAAAGACAAGTTTTGTAATTTTCCCATTCAGCTAATTTTCTGCCGTTTCTTTATACGAATGTATCTCTTCTACTCGGTGGCTTCTTTTCGTTCGATAAGCAGCAATAACTTTCTTTGACCTGTTACTAATTGCGGAGATAATACAAGTTTCACATAACATCTCGTTAACCATTGTTTCAATTTATTATCTTGATTCCGAAAAAGAAGAACAGTGTACAATGAACGTATATTCAATCATTCTTTCTTTAATTTAAGAAAAGATTGTAATTAAGATAGAAACATTCATTACGAGTTCAAACCATAGTTCAAACATACGAAGCAGATTTATCGCCGAACTTCGTAGTTCGCATGTAAGAAAACTGATATAACGAATCTCTACCTTTTCCGTAATCTTAAAGTCACTGGCGTCGATAAATAGTCATTTATCAATTAACTCGATATATGATTTATAAAAGAAACTAGTACAGAGTTAAAATATTTTCGTATTACAAGAACGAGTTTTGAATAATCTTATCAAAGCGAGAGCTGCAAAGGTATTTTTTCTTGATTAAACGGTATTACGGACGCCTTACTTTTTATTCATCAATATCAGTGGCAATACATGATAGATCTAGATACTGCATTAAAAAATGCTTTACGTATCTGGATTAGATGTCTTTAAACCAATGACAGTTATCCTTATCTTATTAAATATTCTTATTTAGCGGACTTATTAAACGTTATGCTTAGTTAGACAAAAAAGTACATAGCTGAATGAGATTTAATTGACTGCTGTCATCCAAGAAACCACTATCATACTGAAGTACATGATTTAATGACCATTGACCTTGCTTCGCGGTATTTATCAAATGTAGCCGCGTGCTTCCAATATTTTCTGATCGTATAATACGTTCTCAATTTCTGCATGTAATCACAAAATCACGTGTTGACTACTCTACATCCTACCTTGCAATTAAGTATTTACTTCTCACTGCTATATCTTATGGAATTTCTTTAACTTTCCAGAATTTTTGTGTCCGACAAAAAATATTATTCTTAGTCATAATAAAAGGTTAACAAAATATGAAATAATAAAAGTCGCGTTCACATCGTGAATAACATTTATTCATCGTCTTGTACAACTGTTGTCTTCTCAGACACGTAAAGACCATCCAAGAACTTTCTGATATCCTTGTTCTTTACAGTCGTCGATTGTTGTATAAGAGCGGCTGAAACGAGATCAAACATCGATTACAATCGTTTGTTCACTTAAACAAAATCTTATCAATTAGCATTATGATTATTTACCAGATCGCGAAACATCTTCTAAAGAATTTCCTTCTATTATCAGTTCATCCTTTTGCTTAGCTGAATTTGCGACCGTTACTCCAGGTGCCATTTTTACGCGGCGAATATATTTTTCACCAAGGAAGTTACGGATTTCAATTACTGTATTATTTTCAGTTATAACACAATTAATTGGGAAGTGAGCATATACTGCTCTCATTTTATATTGGTACCCTTTAGTCACTCCTTTCAACATGTTCTCAATGTGGGAGCAGACTGTACGAACTGCTGCCAATTCTTTCTTTGTTCCAAACCATTTCTCAACTTTCAATAACTTTGGACTCACCATCTATAACAAAAGAATATATGTATCCAAAAACCGTTCTGAACTGCAACATAATTTATTTAAGAATGAATTAGTCAGAAATGGATTTATCATTTATTTAAAAAATGAAGGGGAATCCATTGTATCATCAGGTAAAATTTAATGGTTATTGATATTTTTATGTTCATTTCCTTACACGAATGTCAAGTGCAAGATGTTTGAAAGATCGTTTAAGGATACCTCTTGGACCTTTGACTGTGACCAAACGGGACTTGACTGTGACAGTCAAGCCGTCAGGTATTTTCACAGTCTGATTCGTTACAATTTGCTTCATCCTGCAAAATATGAATATAAACATAAAGTCACTTACATACAATAATTATAAGTAAGATCGCAATGTATATTGTTGTTTCAATCGACAAATATTAATTTTCGGCCAAACTCAAGTAGCTAAATACGCTGCGTTTAAGTAACAGCATACGAAGTATTCATTTCGTCGTATTTTATTCAATTTCTCTCAATATAAACAATAATGAGGTGAAAAAAGTATGTTTATAAAATCTGGGAGACGAGGTTATACTAGGCTACGTGTAGAATCAGTTTTCCCAAAAATAATACTTAGCGTCGCACAAACACGATACACGGTACTGAATAATATAAGTAAAGTATCATAGCATTTAAAACATTCTGAGATTGTTTTGGATTTCACAAAGTACTCATTCTCACTAAGACTTCATTACCTCGCACACGCTACGGGATAACCGGAAAAGACCGAAACGTAAAGAAAGCATGTCTGCTATGTTCTTGAACAAGCAAAACTTATAGAATGGAACACCATGCTCTCTTCTGTTCATTTTACACATGGCGCATTTCTAAACGTAACATGAGGATGAACCCGTTGAATGCTGTTACGCCACCGAGGAGATACAAAAATAAGTAATTTCAATAACGGCGCAAAATTTTCAGTCGATGAACACACTGGATAATTTTTATCATTTTGTGAAAGGACTTTGCATAAACGATGATATAATTGAAAGGCTGACCGCCATTGCAGAGGTAAGGAATATGAATTTGAGAAACTGTTTTTTAAACGTAGAAATTAATTCATACTCTCATGTCATTTATTTTAAAAAATAAAACACAAATTTATAGAAGGCTCATCATTTCATTTAGAATCCTACTTTTTCCGTCCGGGTATTAAAAATTGTTAAGAAATACACAAAATACAAAAATTTAATTTATTTATTATTTTAAGTAGCAATATACATTGTTTACGCGTCGGCGTGCATAAAAGGAAGTATTAAAATGTTGATTATTACAAAATATGAACTGTATTTTACAGTACATGTGATGGTACATTAAAATACAATAAAGAAAGTCATATTAGTAAAAATAAAATGATTCAATACTTTATACGATCGGTATCATCCTTTTTTTCATATTGTTCATCTATAAAATGTATGTATAAATTTATATCTACAAGTTAAGTAATAGGTATGAACGTCGATATAATAACTATATGTTACGAATTACGTGAAACGTATTCAAATTTCTTAATATTATATATTATTTTTTCTTATAATTTACACTTGAATTTTAGTACAGTTTATGAAACGCCAAAAGGATACTTACGTAAAAAAAAAAGAATTGATCTCTACTTATTAATAAAGAAAGTTATACAATCGTTAATGATTCACGAGGAAGCTACTATTCTAGTCGACTGAATGAAACATTCTTCCTTCACGCGCACAAGACTAATATATTACATATGTTATAGAAATTTGGATATGCATTTTATTCACCTGTATATTGCTACTTGAAGAACTGTTCATAAAATGCAGCGTTCGAAAACCACGTCTCCACGCTTTACAGCAGTTTCATAAATAGTATAATCATTGAGTCTTATTCCTTCTCGACTTTCTTACCTTAAAAAAAAAGGCGACAGAACGTAATAATATACAACAAACTGTTACAAAATCAAAACGAAAATGCTTATAAAAAAGTCTCTGCCTCTTCGATTCTCAGAATGGTATCACACAATATCCCGCGACCCATAGACTTTCTACACTTCTGCGCGACAGTATGAAGTTTGTATTCTTTTCTCGGGGGGGCAAAAAATAGAAGTATGTATCTCGCGAATTCTGGTCCGCAAACAATTATTTCAGCGGCAAAAACTCAAATTTTGCTTGTTTACTATCCATGTATGTACAAGCAAAGAGGTATTTCGTCAGTTCACGTCCGCACAGCATTCGCTACTGATGACCCGCCTGCATAGATAATCGTAGATTGTTACTCGGTTTCAATGGTGTTGTACAACGACGTGACTCCGGAAATCTCTCGTGATATCTCTCCAATCTCAGGTACTTCACAGTTATTAAATTACCTACAGAAAATTGTATGTGAACCACAACGCGCACAAGCGTCAACTTAAGTATCCAGTTTAAAGAATTCATTGATCGCTCACCATCAAACCAACATCCGTGTACGGCATTGTACACTTGTCCGGCGTCCTCTTTTGACATACACTTTATGTACACGCAACCCTCGCGACTGCCACGATCTACTCGGATGTGAAGTATCTTCACGCTCTCTCCGCATTTCTCGAGAATAGCGTCCTGCACTTTCGTTTCCCAATCATCTTCGAATTCTCTGAGGACACAATACACGTACTCAGTACAATTTTCAACGCTGTCAAATTGTAGCACGGATACTTACACGTCAGCGTCGAACATGTGTCTGATCTTCAAACACGGTGTCGGCGAACAAGTCAAACTGTTGACGGATCCTTCGATCATTTCGAACGCTTGGCCTTGCCACACTTTACCCTTCTTTTTCAGAACTAAATTCGGGGAATTCGGATTGCTCATGTTGTTAGGCAACCAGCGCCATACGTGAAATTCTTCTCCAGCGACCTGCTGCACTTCTCTTCGAATCCTAGAATCAAATGTTTCCGTTTAAAACACGGAAATAGATTTAAAAATCCGAGCGTGCACCAGTTTGCCACATCCTTTACCTCGATTCATTCTCGTCCAAGAATTTCACTGCCTTTTCCCAAAGACCAGCCATCTTTTTCCGATTTTTCGGAAGTATAAGATTGTCACGTACGTGATTTATAGCAAGAAAACTTTCTTGCGTGCCACCGGGCGTAGCAACCGCTGCGTTTTGATGATGCATTTCAACCATGTTAATGATGTTGCTAACAAGCTGAAACACCTCCATTTCGGTACTTTTCTTGTACCTTATATACCAAACGAATAATTTCTGGATTCCTATAGCTGCTAGGAGCCCTAAGAATATATTTCATCATTACTTAACAATATAACGCTAATCTAAACTATTTCACATAGCATGCACGTTAAGCCTAGCGACGTTATAGAAGAAAATCGCATACAAAACAAGCTACAGTAATAGCAAAGTAAAATTTACTGATTAAATTACAGTGTTAAAGAGTTAAACTTGTGACAGAACAGTAATGCTTTAAAACACAACATAATCGCGTATTTTCAACAAGTTTCTTCCCATAATAATTCGGTCAAAAATTTACCGAGTGACACGATTAGGAGCGAAGAGCATACGGTGAAAAGCTTGTTCTTGATAACACATTGCATCGGCAACTCTGGATTCTTGATCACCATTCCAACTTTACCGTTCAGTCGAGTGTTGAATAACTTGTCCTGTAACAGAGAGAGGTGCCTTTTTCTTTAATTTATATACATTAGAGGGAAAAATATAAACGACGTAGTCAATAAATGATCGTAAAACATTTTACAATACCAAGGAATCTAAAACACCACCCGGATTTCCGTTATCGTCGCTTATATCTACAAGAGAAATGCCCCATTTCGGATTTTTTATGACGAGTAACTGCGCGTTCTGCAAGTCCTCCTTCACCTCCAGACTTTTCTGAAAATTGTCATTATGTGTAACGTTAAACGTGTAATTATTGTTGCCTCATCGTAATTAATTCACGTACCACTTTAGTGCTCGTGAACATTTGCATTATCTCAAAGTCGGTCAAGTAAGGAGTTTCACTGGAATTGTCGCATATCATGGACACGGCCTTTTTTGTTAAAATCGGCTGCAGTCGCTTCAATAATTGTAACACCGAATCTACGTTTTCTTTCATTACACAGTTAACTCCAGGCGCTTCAAGATCGTCCCCGAGAAAGCATAGTGGTATGTTGCTATCTATAAATTAAAACGCAAGAGCAAAAAAGCATTAAAATAGTTGTCAAGATCCACATTCCAATAATGCTTGCAAAAGAAATGACATATGTATATTACAAACGACGTATAAACGATATATATTTGTATGCGTAGTAAAATAATTATTGAAATAAGCTTGAATTTAATAACAGCGATATTGAAAATAGGATAAAATCATTGTAACGGGAAAGGAAATAAAATATCAAAATTAATACATCAGTAATACTTATTATTTTATTACACATGTTAAAAGAAACGATACATATCTTAAGCAGAATGTTACGAAATTGAATATACATTGTTCAATATTGCAAACGATAAAAGTTATATAAAAATATGTAAGACTCGAATGTCAATTCAACTTTAAAAAATTTAAGTGTCCTCTTTGTATATTACACACAGTTTTAATATAATTTCATTGTGCTCGATTAACGATCTCAATCAATTAATCAAATCTATGCTAATTTAATAAGAACGTGCTTAGAGACCCTGTCTTTAAGGAGAACGCAATCGTCACATAATACAGATTTATACTACTTCTTAGAATGTTAATTATTATTTTATTCTCATACATTAAGTATCTTCAAATTCGTTATAGAACATTACACATAAATACAATGCATTTACTGTTAATGACAAATTTATTTAAAAAGCTTTCCCACAGATTGTTAGTAAAACTGTATAATCTGTCGCATCGTGTTCTTTCAAAAAATTCTTCATTTACGTTACTTAATTGTTACGATTCTGAATACCTACCCGTTGAGAGCGATGGGAACGTCTCCGATTTTCCACCAAGTCCCATATATATTATGGCGAGAATCCCAAAAAACAAAGCAAGTACTACTACCAAAACTACAGATACCATATTGTGATTGTTTCGTACATCTTCCCTGTTTGTGGTAGTTGATTTAAACATTCTGTTCACCGTTTCCCGGGGTCTGTCAAGGGATGACGTTATGTACCTGGAACTGAACAAGATTCATTTACATATCTGTATAATCCAAGCAAACATGTTTAGATAATTATTAGCATTTAATACAATTGAACCTTACCTCGGATTGGACGATGGATATAAAGATCTCAAAGTAGAGAAATGTCCATTTGAATCTTTTTCCTTCAAATCTGGTACATTCGATGCAAATCGCGAAGTTGGACCTAACAACGTAAATTTCTTAAGCAATGGATTCTCACGAAGTACATTGTATGATAATTATGCAAATGTGAAACTTACTCTTTAAGCTGGACAAAGATGTGGATGGTAAGTTCATGGACGATCGTGAACTAAGTCTCCTGGTAAATTCTGAGAGGAATGGTGTTTCATAATTGGCTAAAATATCTCTCTTTGTGCTATCTTTTGTGGGAACATCTTCACTCGTCGATGGTATTGGAGAGATGTTTGAGTCAAAAAATTCATTATATTTATCGACCACAGTGTGGATAGATCTCGATTTCGGCTCATACGGTTTTGAAATTTGTTCTTGATTGGCAATGTTATGCTCATAAGATCTAGACTCATGAGGTTTAGGGACGCTCGTTGAATATTTAGGCGGAGTATATATTTTGTTATATATATTTGATATTTCTTCAACAATATCTGAATCAGAACCAGTTTCTAAGCCATCAGTTGTACTTGATGTCTTATTGGTCTTCGTATACTTCTTGTGAGTAGTTTTTGTTATTGTACGGTTTGTGAAAGAGGAAGAACTATTGTAGTCCGGTGCTATAGGATCCTTAAACTCAGAATCTGCAATTTTATCCTTTACTGGATTTTTTGATATGCTTACATCAGATGATGGTGGAGGCATTGGGTTAGCTAGTGTTTGCCTTCTAGTGCTTGCAGTAGCTTTTTTCTTTTTGTTAAGTGTCGAACTTGTATCATCATCTGTGTCTTCGCTGCTGTATCTGATACATAAACATTAATTAAATAAAATTTCATTATAACAACATATCGGCATAATCACAGTTTCGAATCGTGTTTAAACAAAACCAAGGTATGCATGAAATGAAGCCTCAAAGACGAAAGAAAGTCTTTTAACCAAGATAAACAAATGGAAAATGGGAGAAATGAGAATCTTTCGTATTTCAATGATATTCAAATTCGATACTATGGAGAGTGGGTGAAATGAATAAAAGCAGAATTAAAAGTAAGATAAACATATACGAAACCAAAAGTACCTGGCAGCCAATGAATGTCGTGACCCTGTACCGCCTCGAGTTTCAATGAGATTTTTCAACTTTTTCACAAGAATCTTCCTGGTGGTTTGTGTCACCGGGCCCACCGGGTACCCATACTCCATTAATTTTCTACGCAATTCCGCATCACTCAATGCGTCTACCGACATTTTGTTTACAGAAAAAAAAGAGCTCCTCTCAAAGAGAATCCGGTAAAAATGTTAGCCTCGTGCGTGAACCTCTTGCTAGTAAGTATATACCACACTGTGAAGCGTAGTTAGTCGGAATTTCGTCCGACGGCGGTCGCGCGATTGAAAATTCGCACCACTACTAAACCGCGCGCACGTGTCGCCCCTCAGAATGTCATAAATGTTTTAAGCGGTAACCGCGGCACAACTCAGAGAATAATCTTGGTTACAACTAAAAAATGGCGCAATTTTCTAACGGTCGCGAACGCGCGCATACTCGTTCGCAGTTTTTCACGCTACTCAACCCTGTCATCCATAGTCATAGAATAAACGTCGATCAAGGTGGTCGACAAGGTGGATTACAATATCTTCTTTTATCCTCTCGACAAATTTTTTACTTGACGACTTCATTCAAAATTAATTCGAAATCGAAGCTGTTCATTTGCCAGGTTTGTCGACTTCGTTGTTCCGAACGAATGTTTGCGATGTTAACGATCGGAAAATTGGGTGACGTGAATTCGGTAAAATCCTCGGCGAGTTACACATCATTGATTCATGATTTTTGGAACGGTATTTTGGAATGTGCTTGAGCAATGTCAATGCTCATGCGCTAATTATAGAACGCACATGCAATCGCAAAATTACGCATACCCTTTATTATGAAAAAAAGAATACAATGCTATAAATATGCGTAATTGTTGTAAATTCTTTTTCTCAGGCTGTGATACGGCTAATATTAAACGTTAATAACACGTTCATGATTCCAAGCGATTTGTAACTATTTCATATAAATGATAAGGGATAAATGATCGTTATTTTGTTATTTTGATTTTATAAAATTACTTTTAATATCGTAACAAATACAGGCCATTCCTTATTAATGCATAATCCGGTAAATTCTCAATACGACCAAGAGCTATAACGACTGGATGTTGATCATAGACATATTTGCCACAAACTTCCCGTATTTTATCTGCATTTATTTTCTATAACGCGAAACCCTTATTTATGCTAAATCGCTATTTACTTTGCATTAAAGAAGATAAAAAATTAATCATCTTATGTACCTCATACTCTGTAACTCTTTGCTCGATTGACTCGTAACATCCGTATCTGAAAACATTTTCAACAATGTCGAAAAAACGATTTGTCGAATTGTTGCATGCCATTAAGTCAATCGCTATGCACTGATTAACGGCACGAGATACTTCTTTCTCAGTAATCGTTGTACACAATTTCATCCACACTTTACGCAGTCCAGCAACCATTTGCTACATAAACATTTCAATAATAAGGAATTGTAGAAATGCAATATATTTACATCACATAGCGAAATATACCTCGATTTTCAATCTTTCACAAACGAAGTAACAGCCCCATATACTGGTAGACTGTGCATAATTATGAAAAAAAGACTTGTACATTAAACACGTGTCTGTATTGTAAGCAAAGTGTGCAATGTACGGTGCATTATGATTTACTCCACCTAGAAAGAAACGAATTGCCTTATGACATCTTGTCCTAAAAATGGGATAAGATCGTCCCAGTTTCTTAAATGTTTTTTAATTATTACATTACTATACAGTCAGAGTATAGAATATATTAGCTTACTGTATGACATGTCCCAAGAACCGACGATTTGTTTAGCCACAGTGAAAGCAACGTGCTCTTTACGCTGTTTGTAACTTGGTCCTTCAACTCCTATTGCTACGTACGCTAATTGATTATCGTCATCTCTTAGTCGTAATTCAGCAGCTACGTTACGGATGAGGTATTTATATATGACGAACATTGTGTAAATGTTAATAAGAACAATTAATTTTTTATTTCATTTCACCTGAGAACCGATACTCAAGTGACTCTGTACCAGTTCGCATTCTGCTGGAAATACCGAACGACGACTTGTAATCGTCAACTTTACAATCAAAGTGTTCGCAAACCATCTTTCGTAATTCGTTCAAGCAGACGGATCCAGTGCTGATCATCGTAATGTAACATGGTTTAAATAATCGGCTTCGAAAGCCAGACAATTTTTCTATGGAAAACTGTCTGGAAATTTAGGACATTAATGGACAGATGCTGAGATAATTTTTGAACAGTCGTCGCACTTACTTTATTGTGTCAGTGTCAGTATATACGCTATTGCCAAGAGCAGTACCTTGATACGCGATAGTTGGCAAATAATCCATCACGACTTTTTCTCTGTCTACTTCCATTTCAGCGAGTTCGTTTAAAATTACGCATTTCTCCTCTGTTATATCGGTAGCACCTGAAATACCACATTAATATTTCATCGAAGCGAATAGAGCGTTCGATCACATTATTTTTCCTGACTTACATATAACTCCATTCAGTATTACATCCGCAAATAATTGAACGAGTTCATCTACTTTACATGATTGTACAGTCCCATAAAAAACGAACATGTCTCTCATTCCAACAGCTGCAATTTTTCCTCCAATATCTTGTACAATGGTTTCCAACTGATCATGGGTTTTCGTTCTCTATGTTGAAACGTTCAATTAAAATCAAACGAGCAATTAACTTTTGACTTGGATCATGTACATTCCTTCCTCAAGGAGGCAAAGAGGTTTTACCCTAAAAAGTAAATGTTCCAAAAACAGAACGCTGCCACGTTCTTCGGGCATTTCGTACATCGAACCAGCTGGAAGAAAACATCCTAAGGTGGTGTTGAAGGATTTTCTGCGTTCGCATACAAGACGGATACCATTGTCCATATAGCATGATTCCGTTGTATTCTCTAAATTCGAATACGTATTTAAAACTTTAGACATTTTCCGAGAAATGGCACCGAGGTCTTGAAATGTTTCGTAACGCTTATTTGTAATAAAAACGAATCCCTTAAAAATTAATCGGATATATGTAGCATCATCTTCAATGCTTTCCATATAAATGACTTAGAAAAAGTAATGCAACAACGTACTCTTTTCACACATTTATATACAATATCGTCTCGTATCTGGCATAAATATCTTGACACTGCTATCATTTTTACTTTAAATTATCCATGCAGAACATAATTTATATTGAATACATATAGAAATTATACTTTTTTAATGACAATTGAACATATAAACGCCTGTGCTTTTACTTCATTACATACGTATATCTATAAGTGTATATATTACATTCAAACGAGTATTTAAACTTTACATATTATATGTTCTCGTAATAAAAACAGAATTTCGTAAATGTGATGAAATAGATATTTTATTACTTGCGTCGATATATTGTTAACAATATGAAAAACAAATGGAATGATCTTCTATGATATAAAAATCATAACATCTGTCCATATATTGTACGGATATTTATGATTTCTTGATAGAAAGTAAAATCAGGAAATATCTTTGTCAAATAATTATCGATGTACAAATTTTTACGTTATCGTAAATATTTTTAAGCAGTTCGTACATACGTACATGACAGAACTATTTGATAGAGCATTCTTTTATGTATTGATTTATATAATTCATTTAAATAAATAATGTAGAAAACGTTAAACCAATTGTCATAATATAAATTCGTGATGTGTTACGCGAAATGATTCGATTAAACAAAATCGATTAATACATCCTACATTTTGCTCTTGTTCTGATAGTTTCTCATCCCCCTTCGAATAATGTACTTAAAGTAATTCATATATACTGGCGCCTTAGTTCGATAAGGAAATTTCATTATCATCAGCACAAAATAGTCTATCCGATTTAATATTAGCAGACAATACGCAACGGAAAATTTATATACAATATTGTAGTGGAACCGCAACACATACTAATAAATATGCTGAACACACACGGAGGTAAAGTCTAAAATTAAGCTATAAACTTCAAATATATACTATTTTATGTTCCGCACAATAGTTTATATTTATAGTTTAATGAAAGTAAAAAACTTGTTTATTTCTAATTCTTACGGTATTTCCTTTATTGCGGAAAATAGATTTTTTAAACTGTAAAAGTATTCGGAACGGTTCTGTATTTCTTCAAATGCTGTTGCACGAAGTCTCAAACCACATATTAAACACATGCATATTCCAAAGTTACCGAAAATTCGATCTACTCTTCCACAACTATGTCTCGTCGAAAGAAGTAACTATCTTAACGTTCGGCCTTTGTGACTTGAAAGTATCGACACCTTGTTTTGTAACGGACGTACCACTTACGTCCAGATGTTCGAGACTCGACGCGTTTAAAGCCAAATGTACCAAACTCGAGTTTGTAACATGCGGATAATTTCTGAAATACGTCAAAGATCGTAAATGCGTTACTGTCAACTTACCGTTCAAACTTTCTTCAATATAAGATAGTACCTAACAACCAATGTTTTCAAGTGTGGATTATTAAATATTCGCTTATCATCTTCCACAACTATCACTCCTTCTGCCGAGTTATTGATTATTCTACGATCGCATGTGTCACTCCCGAGAGCACATATTGCTCTGTCCGTTATCAAACAACGTCCGAACATATAATTTTCCCAAGGAAATCCGTTTTCAACCAAAAACTGAAAGAGAAATAAAATTTAGATACGGAATTTTTTACATAAGATCAGTGTATATACTTACTTGCGCAAGATGCCCATCTTCATATACAGGAGGTTGATTAAAAGCTTCTCTTTGTAAAGGTCGTGGCTCCGGATCAGCCGAGTCAGTATTTCGTAAATTAGAAGGACATTCCAAATAAAGATGCGTTAATGTCCTAGTACTGCTAAAACATCCAACTTCACTATCACCGAGCGCAGTATCTCGCAAATCAAGAATCTGAAATATATAACTCGGAAATTAATTGATTAATCAATACATCATAGTAATAATGTAAAAAAATTGTGCTTACTTCTAATGTTTTGAATCCGAATCGTGTAGCTAAGCTAGTATAGGCGACGCATTCACCTAACCGATGACACGAGTTCAACCTTAATTCTTTCAGTTTGGGCATTTTACTAATGACCAACAACGAATGTGGAGTGAACCATTGACAATTACTTAATATTAAACACTGAAAAATAAGAATATAAAGTAAATGCTAAAAGGAGCCTAATATTAGAAATCTGCAATTTTGAAAAAAGGAATTCTTACTGTTAGATTAGGCATGTGAAAGTTCATTTTAAAAAAGTATGACTTATTACTTCGTAAATATCCCATTTTGCAACCTTCTAGCGAGAGTTTCTCAATTGTTTGTGGAAAATCTGTTATTTGAATCTATAAGTAGATGTAAGAATATGAAATACCTTTCCAATATGTTTCTTCAAAAGTAACTCTGACGATCAAATATTTGACTTTACCTTATCTCCATTAATGCAGTATTCCTCAATGATTAGTTCTTTAAGTTGAGTGCATTTAGTCTTAATCGAGTAGAAAAAGAAAGGACTAAGGTCTATATCATTTTCACAATACAAGTCACCACGTATAGCAAGACTTGTTGTCATTGGATGAAAGAATTTGATGTACTCCTTTAATTCGGTTAATAGTATAGGTCTATCTCGAAAGTCTACTCTTCTCCATAAAGTTTTATCTTGTGCTACTTGGGTTAATCTTTGACAAGATCTAGTAAGAAACAATTAGAAAATTATTTAACGATAAACTTTTGTGAAACCAACGCAACTTATATGCAGAAACTTACAAACTTATTGCCATAAGATCTGTAGGATTCAAGTATTTAAATATATTCAGCAGGACATCATCTGAGAATTCTAATATATTTGGATATATTATATCGTTCTCTTTTTCACTTTCTCTAGATTTCATGCGCTTCATGTCCTCCTCACTGCTTGAAGCTTTAGGAGACAAAGATCTACTGCGTTTAATCTTCATTTTCTTTTTACACCTGTATAAAAGCAAACATAGAATAATAAATTCAAATTTTACCAAGTTTGTTTTAAAGTATCATTTTATATGGCTTTCATTATTAATTTAAGATAAATCTATGATTCATCCTGTAAGCACAAAGCAATTGACATTTTTGCATGATCATCGTTTAACTATTATTATTGAAACTACATATATGTTTTATTGAAAATTATTTATAAATATGTAGAGGTATTAATGTACATGTAACAAATTAAACGATGAGATGTCAGATGCACTTGTTCCAATGGTTTTAACTCTCCCTGCATCTTTCTGTGACAGTATACAAAAACTAAAGTTGGTCGTAGTTTTCAAATTGAAACTGACAGAAAAACACAAAGAAAGTTCTGTTCACAAAACAGTCTAATTCTGACTGCTGAATAAGCTGAGTTTCTTTGGCTGAATCCCAGAAATAGTGATAAAATTTCTGCCAACCATATGCCACTATGATCAATGATCCTACATCATTTTTTATGCACTTCATAAAATAACGTTTTCATTATTAATATATCAAAAACCCAATCTTATTGCGTAAAAATAATGATTTCCTGAAAGTTGTGTTTTACAATTATCGTTTTATTATTTTTTTTGTAAATCTGTGAAGCTGTTAAATCGTATGATAAACGTACATTATGAAAAACGTTAATTCTATTTTAAAAACAACATTTTTAAAAACGTCATATCAAAGCGATTGACATTTAACAAAATGCAGAAATTGATTCATTAATGTTATAATAAAACATTAAATATATTACATGCTTTTATTTCGGTATTTTTGTTAATATAAATGGATTGCTTTTTCTGAATAATAAAGCATAAATGTTGTTGTACTATTGTCAAATATCAACAAGTAATAACATAACCTTATGATCTACTGTCCGATATACTGTCACTGCTGTGTTTACACTTACCTGATTGTTATTCTATTATTCCGAATATATATTATTATAGTTGAAAATATATGACCACAAAAATGAATTGCCTTAAATAATGCATCCAATCAGTCGAATTCATTGAGAACACAAGGTATAAAGCGATGAACATGCACACTTTTCTGACCAAACTAAAATTTATAAACTCGACTTTAGCCTGTTATGATCAAGTTGGAGAGCAAGTTTGAAATCGCTTACAATTCAACGATACATGAATGAAATCGAAGTATTGCACTAAATCTTTTTATTTTACGTGTTCTCCAATATCGTTTAATCATATTTTTTCTTATTTTTGTTCACTTTATTTTAATTCTCTTCGTAATATTTACAGCTGTTCATATTATAACAAAAAATTATGTAAAATTAATTATATTTAAGTACGGTGAAAATGAAAGTTTTATGTAATAGATAATGCGTTTTACTTATTTTAATTTCATATACTTTTTATGAACTTTATTCCGTCATTAATTTATTGATTTAAAATAAATCTTCTAATCGAAATTATGTGGACAGCATAAGTTTCGTTCGGCTTAATTTATTTGTAATTAAATGGGAAAGAGTTAAATGAATCATACATAATCGGCTTGTATTATGTTATAATATATTTAAATATAGTATTAGTTGGAAAATATTATATACAATTTAGAATACAAAAATGAACAATATAAGTTTCAAAAATAATCATATCTAGACAGGAAAAGAGAAAAATGTCATCTTGCTGGACTATTTGAATAGAGCAGGGGGCTACTTAAATAAATCTTCGCGATTCTCATAACTAGGCACAAAGTACACATATGTATGCAATGAACAAAAGCACTGTATCTTTGGATTTGTAATATTTACTTTACGCTTCAATACGAATAGAGGTATTTCCCGCTTTGCTGAGAATACAATTTCCTTAGGAACAGTGCACTAACAGTTTTCCGTCTTATTCACTGGACCATATTATATACAATGTAATATTACTATAAATCTATATGCATTTCAAATGTACACCTAGTACTGGGTGATATAGAAACACAGTCTTAAATTCATTACTTTTGTTTCGATATATTATATACAAGACTTTATGTGGTAAAATAAGATCTGGCTACGTAATTAAAATAAATCTTTTGTACTGTAGAAAGAGTTCATTTACATCTTAAGTCATTTATTTATGCCCTCCTTATCTCAATCGGCCTATAACTCACGTTCACAAAAGAGCAGGGTTTAATATCTGTCTATCAGTAAATGAAAAATTTTTAATACATCACTTTAAAATGTTCCATGTAATAAATAAATGGTTCAGTAATATAAAGCAGCAAAAACTGCTCCTGGAGTAAGATTTCAAAAGATTTGTCTGATACATAGAACATTTTTACTAAGGAGGACGGTGGTGTAGAACATAATTTCACGGCCGCATATGCGATTACAGATTTTACGTTCGGATAAAGTTTCATGTTTAGTTGGAGAAACAATTTAATGCAGTAACACGCTCTAACGAATACGTTGTGCGATTATAAATTTCATTAGTATCCGTTTCAACATGGAACGTAGTGAAAAAAATAATATGATGATAATTGCACGATAAAATATAAAAATTTCTTCGTAATATAACTTTTATTGTGTAAAAATATAAAATTTGATAAATGTCATATATGAAACGTTAAGGTTGTATGAACCCTTATCAACAAATGACAAAGCATTGAAATTTTAACAGTTATTAGATATTACATTAATAAAACGTACAAAATTTTACGAGCCTATCAAAAAAGTTATTACATCTCGCCGAGAAAAACGGACCGAACAATTTTATAAACCTTACTCCTCTATAATTGTTATTTTTTCTAAAAATTCATTACTTCAAATATTAGACACACATTTTTATTACATGCTTAAACTTTTGGCAGAAATCTTACGGCTCATACAACCTTAATGACACACAACAGAGACCTTTTGAGAATATAGCTGTTAGCTGCCCCCTGTTTCCGATTCTTCTGCGTTTAATGAAAAAAAGGGAAACATAAGTTAATTTATAGCAAATGCTAATTATATATAAATTACGGATGCGAGAAACTAAAACTATGCGTGGCTTATGAAACATAAATTCTCTCGATTTTGGTCGATATTGTACGTCCATTGAGAAATTTGACAATCATAATTTCCTGCATGCTTATTTAAAGAATTTAGTCAGTTTAGTGTATGGCACGCTCACATTTGTTAAAAAACAACGACTTTACAGTCGCTGCATATAACCTACTATGTAATATATGCAGAATATGCACACATCGTATGTACGCTTAAACCGAAATCTTAATTACCTATATTTACGTAGCTAATCAGATTTATATCTGAAATTATTTTTCTATTATATATGTACCCAATTTATACATAACATATATAGTTCTTTGGTCTTAGAGATTTTGTTTCGTAAATATTCTAAGTTACATACAAACAATATAGTTCTAAAATACTTTGTGAAAAAGTCATAGATTGTTGCAATCACTGGTTACGGAAAAAATTATTGGCCTTGATGTATGTCTAACATACATCACTACAACACATATTGCACAAAACAAAAAGATAAATCATAATGTTTTCGTAAAACTGTTTGTAATACGAAAAATCAATTTAGATCTCAACAACAACTATCGGTAAAATATATAACAGACGTATATTGATGAAATAAGAATACATTACTATTTTTAGCATGCTTTCCTAATTCTATTAAGTAACTAAAGTAATATATAATCTTTCATAGATAATATTCTGATACATGAATTTCATTCTTCGTTTTTTGCTTCAAGTCAATAGACTGAAAATACGTATCTAATCAGGTATTGGAACAACCTCATGACTATCTACATAGATACGTTTGAATCGTGTGGCACACAATTTCTCCGAACTTTAAATAACAGTGTGCATTCGTACAAAACGTAGCATGCATTTAATATATGTAATACTATACCGATAAATATATGTACAAATTACTCCAAGTTAAGCTCATAAGCCACTAAAGATTTGACGTTTGTGATCAACTGATTAATGACAATTGAAAGGATTAATTGTTTAAGTCCGCTGAAAATAATATTTAAGTTGTGAAAATAATATCGCATCTTATTAAAGTACAAAAGTCACTTCCGGAGTAACAGCGATTTCGATATAAGAAAATATTTTAGCGCGTCGTAAAATATCTCATGCTCACATAACAACAATCTTATGATTGTTACCGTTTGGCAAGAGAACATAATAGACACGCTTTCCCTTATCTCATTGAAACTCTTGTACATTATTATGATATTGGTTGTTAAACGAACTGTTTGCTTGTTCGTTCCTTTCGATAACACTCTGCATCTCGACCGTCGGTTCATTGTTAGACTGTTCATTGTTACTGTTTAGATTCTCAGAATTGGCAACGTTATTAGTCACTATGTTTACATTGTTTGTAGTGTTTGATTGTTGTGTTTGTTGTTGTTGTTCTTGTTGTTGCTGCTGCTGCTGCACATGATTGTTCACAGTATTCTGAGAAGTATTGTTACTGTTCCTGGATCTATGCTTAAGTTTGTGACTTGTGAGATATTGTTTTATAGGGAATGCCTTGAGACACATGTTACATTTATATGGTAAAGGATCTGGATAATTTAGATCATTTCCAACATCTGACGCATGGGTTGTCAGATGCATTAAGTAATAATGTTTTACCACGAACGATTTTCCACAGGTTTCACAAATGTATGGGCCCGATACGCCGTGTGTTTTACGATGTTTGTGTAGATTGTCTTTCCGTGAAAAACTTTTGCCGCACATGTCGCACTCATGCATCTTTTCACCTGTATGAGATACCGAGTGCCTAACTAAGTGTTCCTTACGACTGAATGCCTTTTGGCACGTTGTACATACATACGGTCGTTCACCAGTATGTAATTTTCTATGCTGATAAAGATGTTCTTTTCGTTTGAACGGTTTACCACAAACGTCACAACTAAATGAACTGTTATTAATTTGTGTCTCTTCCTTATTACTACTGGTATCGGAAGTTTCACTCAGAGTACTTTGAACGGAACAAGCATGATTATTCAGCTGATTTATAGAGATGAATATTTTGCCACACTCTTTGCAGGTAGTACGATTATGAACTTGAGATACAGCTTGAGGATTCACGGTAATCAAAGACGTTGGTTCAGGCGCTGATTTAATTCTTAGAAATTCGGATATCTGTCCAATCGAATTACGCGACATCGAGTCTTCCGACTTAAAGTCTTTTGAATCTTCAGGAATTGTTTGCGTGACCACCAACGGAGTTTCCTTAAATCCTAAATTTAGAAATACCTCCGGCGCGGCTTGTACAGTCGTAAAGCCTTGTGTTCCATTTTCGTTCTTTAGGTTTTCAGACTGTACCTTCTGAATGATTTGTTGACTGTCCTTGCTATCAGATTCTGTTTTTAAACTGATATTATTATTTTGATGTACCACTTGTGCTTGTGGTTCCTGTTTGACAGGGAACTCTTGTGGTGCATTGATCTGCACCTGTTTCTCAATCTGTTGAAGCTGTGTGTGCTGTCTTTGTAATTGTTGAATTTGCTGCGTTATCTGCGATTGATTTTGTTGACCAACTTGTGTTTGATTTTGTTGCGGGATCTGTCTTTGCGGTTGGATCTGTTGATTTATTTGACCGTGGTTTTGAATTTGATTTTGCACTTGAATTTGCGAGCTCGGGTTTTGTTGATCGTTAATTTGATTTTGTGCTTCGTTTGATTGTTGGGGAGATACTTGCGAAGTCTGTTGCTGATAAGTATAGTGTGTTTCAGCCGTTGCTTCTACGACAGCTGCTGTCATACCTCCCGGTTGCATCTAAAATAAATATAGTAAAACTCTTTAATTCCTGCTAAATTCTACATGTATTCTTCTGGAAGATGTAAAGTAAATACATCGGTCAAGAAGTTACTATATATTTTTCAACAAACCTGCATTGCACATTTGTATTGCTGAACTCTTGCTTGAACTCCACTTATAATTTGAATGTTAGAAGCATTTATATTACTAACAACAACAGGTTGTTCATGTTGCATTTGTGGTTCATCGGTTATTATCTGAGTTTCAGCTGGAGGTGTTACTTTTTCTATTGACTTTAATACTTCATTATTAGGCGTTCCTGATCTGTCTGCCCTATCCTTGTCAGGACTCTTCACATAAACTTTACCTTCCTTCAGGAAATCTTCAGAAAATCGTAAGGAAGTAAAATACGATTCTAACATACCCTCAGCACTTATAACTGTTTCTCTGAATTCAATGAAATTTTCCAATTTCTTCACACACTCGTGGCAAACAATTTTTGGTAAAGAATCTTCCTCCAAAACCTTGAAGCATCAATTCGTTCTTAAGTATTGTTTGCAGTTGTATACTAATTAAGTGTAAACGATGGCACTGATAATAGGCATTTACGAAGGTGTAATTCTGATTCTTATGTGTCAAAACCTGTTCGAAATCGGAATCAGAGATGTAGTCTCACCTGTATGGGTAAACAAGCCTGGATCTTCGTTTGCAGCTGAAGCCTACGACCTTCCTCGCGAAAGATGTTCATTTTGGTTCCTTCGCTGCTGGTACACAATCTGCACAGTTCGTAATAATTCACTCTTTGATATCCGGACATTGTTTTCCCGCGGAAAACTCAATTGCGCGACCTTAGAAAAAATCGCGATCAGTCCTGTTCCCGTATCAACGTACGCGTGACAACGATCACTGCCGCGTTATCATCGTTGACGATGTTGTTTCACGTATAAAACAAGATTCCGCTGCTTGATATCGCATTTCGGGGACTACGTGAATTACAACCGTGGCCATTTGCAGTTTGTGTGTGATTATAGCGACAACGAAAGGGTAACGAAACGCGCTAAAAATTCAAAACCTCTTTTCAATCTGCATATAAATACACGAGTGTCAAATCATAAAAGGAACAACGTTCTCTTATAAAATGTCTCTGCATATCATTTTTACATTATTGTCGCTCCACTGACGCTCCTAGGAAAAATAATTGCGTTATAATTATACGAACAAGCCGCTTGTATGTATGTTGTATTTATTTCCTAATAAGTAATAAAATAGAACTTGTACGTATATACAGTTGTAATACAGTACTATAACACTTACAATTATTATTATATTGGGACTGAGAAACCACAAATACTTAAACTTAACTAAAACATGTAATAATAATAATTCAATACGACAGATATACGCGATGATTTAACGCGTTATATTAAATACTAAAGGAACAAGATTTTACGAGGCGTTTATATTTATAAATTCCTTCTTATTATCAAGACACGAAGCTGAAAAATAATGAATTCCCAGTTATATCGAGTAACATGCTCGAACTGCCTTTGCGGTGGTCCAATCTGATTTAAGAGCGAGAATGTATCGAATGAGGAAACGTGGAACATTGAACCGGATAGATGAAAATGTCATCACCAACTGGTGGAGTTTCCTATGGACGATAGTGTCAGGGATAGATTTGGTGGGTGGTGATTGACCATTTATAATTCCACGGTCACTTCGAGTACGGTGCACGGTGTACGAATTGAAAAGTAAAAATGTTTAAGGATGGGGCACGTCGATGGTAAATTATGAGACAGATCTATCGATTGAACGGTAGTGTTGTAAGAAATATCGCGGTGCGATAGTCAGAGGATCCTAACCTTATTAAAAATGAAGTCAGGCACCATGAGCAGACACAGAGGCTCAATACTTTTAAAACCGGAAGAAAACGAGCAAGTCTTCCAATTGATAGGAAATCGGTGTCAGGTGAGAATTGCGCTAAGAACAATTTTTACTTGCTAGGATCGCGCGTGTCATTTTAATACAGTGATTTTGACCTAAATTTTCCTGTTCGATAAGTATAGATAAATTCGTGCTGTCAAATTTCATTTTCCCTTTATCTCCGGACATTTTATACGATTATTGCTTTTATGATTGAACACTGATCATGTTTGGGTATTATCTACGTCACATACTGGCGAAATATTGGCTACGTGTATATAACACCGACATATTTCGTGTATTTAGTTTGTAGAACAATTCTTAATATCGAAAATCTTATGATTTGGCCTGGTAAAAACATTTTTAAACGCATTAATCAAGTTCATTTCATTTTGTCTTAAAACCTCTGCAATAGTAAAGTAGTCTATTCAAAAGAATGTATGTTTAGAAGTACGTATTAGTCATGAGTGAATCAAGTGACATCAGAGGATTTATAATTATGCAAAAATTTTCCACTCTGTATTTTTTCGCACTTGATCAGTTAGCATTCTTCATATATCTTTCAATTTCACATGTACATATTTTATTATTTATTTGTAATTAATATATCAGAAAAATGATTTTCTTATAGTGCTTAGCAGCTGGAGTTATTCAATTGTATTTGACTGAATCACCTTCACATAAAGAATGGATAAAGAAAACTACAGGTATTATAACATTGATAAGGGATAATTCTAGACGTAGTTTTTTCCTTCGTTTATATTGCTTACAAAGAAAAGCAATGTTGTGGGAACATGAAGTTTATAATGATATGGACTATAAAGCACCATTGTCATACTTCCATACATTTGAAGCGGAAGATTGTATGGCTGCTTTTAATTTTGCAAATGAAACAGATGCTATGACATTAAGGTACGTTTAGGATTTTGATATAAAAATATTAATTGATATATTACGTACTTTATTGAAGAGCTTAATCCTTAACCTTTACTTATTTTTAGAAATATTCTTCTTGGTAAGCTGAATGACAAACGTATAAGGAGGCAGCAAAGACGGTCTAAAATGGAAGGAGAAACTCAGCATAGTGCAACAATGCCATGGAGAAATCAAAGCAATACATCCTCTGTTGCATTTAATACAGGGTCAACTTCTAATTTATTAAATGGAACTCCAAATACACTTGGCGTTAACAGAAGCGCTTCTAGTAGTTCTATGCACAAAACGAAAAAGAAAAAGCGTGAGAAAACTAAGAAGAAATTAACGAAAGACGATATTGGTCCTCCGTCTAACTTTAGGTTGAAAATTCACCATTAATTCCTTGAATCCTCGGTACATTTGACGAATGTGCCTAATAATTTGAAAACTTTTTTAGACATCTTTCGCACATGGGATGGAACGCTAATAGCAAGGAATTGGAAATAGAGAAAGTTGATCCGCACTTAAAAATTTTCCTTGATAAAGCCGGTGTGTCAGAAGATCAGTTCCGAAAACCAGACATGCGTGATTTTATCTACGATTTCATCGATAAAAATGGTGGAATGAATGCCATTAGAGAAGACATTTCCTCGACTGGTTCAGAGACTAATGTACAGCAGTCGCAGCAGCAACAACAACCTCCCGTAGCACCTCAAAGACAGGAATATCCTCCTCCAGTTCCTGCACGAACCATACCTGTGGGTATATCTTTTAGACTATTATATACTCTCTATCTTTACAGGATTTTACAAAATAACGATGTAACATCTTTATAGCATCAGGCGCGAAGTGCCCCGCCGTTACCTCCAAGTCGATTCAACGCACCGTCAACGCCGCCGAGCGCACCTCCTAATGCGCCGCCGGTTCATAGAGCATTACCAAGTCGGCCGCCGCCACCCTCTGTAACTTCCGCGCCGTCACTGCCGCCACCTCCACCTCCGCCACTTCCTCCACCACCGCCGTCAGGGCCGGCTCCAGTACCACGTTCCAGAAGCGATTCGACCACACCTGTTCCACCTCCACCACCATTGCCTAATCTACAGAACACCGACGACGGAACGGTCAACACGAGTGCAACCAACAATAATAACACTAGTACCAACAATAATAACGAAGAGCTCGCCGATCTGAGGTCGACATTGATGGATAGTATAAGGAGCGGCACTACCCTTAAAGTTAGTATCAGAATTACCGTATTCCGTAACAGAAAAACGTAAGTTATGGCTATTATGCATGTTATTTTTACGTTGCAGAAGGTCGATAGGTCTGAGATAAAAAAAGAGAATCCTCAACCTACGGGCTCGAGAAACGCTTTGTTGGAACAGATTCGTCAAGGAGTTGAATTGAGGCCCGTTTCGAACGAGGTAAAGAGTAAAGCGCCATCAGTATTTCAAGGAGGATTGGCTAGTGCTTTGTCGAGAGCTCTTGCTGAGCGATCAAATGCAATCCATAGTGAAAGTGATGATTCGACTAGTGAAACCAGTGATGACGATGAATGGGAAGACTAATTCAGGTTCGTTAGGAATGATCGATTCGTGTATGCACGTACAGTTTAAACAATTGTTTTTTCATGAATTTATGACTGTTTCAGGTAAAGTATACAACTCCAAGAGTAAAATAATATATCACTGTGATAAATCTGCTATCAATAAACATATAGAGACAACAGATTAGTTACTATAAATGTATAATGTAACGATTTTGAATTTGATATCCAAAGAAGAATGAAAAAAACATGTAAATGTTCCGGAAAGGGCGATCACTTGAATGTGTTATATCGGAAAGTAAGGCACAACTACATGGATAGGGCAGATAAGGGCAAAATAAAGTCCTAGTATCATTTGGAAGAAATTGTTACATACAATTGTCTAATAGAGAAGAAAGAAAGGTATACAGATATATATATATATAAAACGAATACGATGTTATATAGCACAACAGGTATATAAAAATTGATCTTTCGTTCTCAAATATTTATTTGTTTAACTGAGAATCCAATATTTGTCAAATAAAGTGAATACTATAGACAATTATGCCTATTCACGCTGTTTCAATGAAATATTATAAGGAACGTAATAATGAATAAATGGAATTAAATAAGAAGTAGCTTAACTATATATTACAGTTAATAATATTTCAAATTCTATGTAAGTTCACGCTATTACTTTACGATTTATCCAACTTCCTTGATAAAACTTTAGCCCTAGTTTGCCCTGCCCGATTCGTGTGGCTCCAAGTACGCATAATCTTAAGTTAGCGACAATGTTAGTGCAGGATGCGCTCTTACAGTGAAACAAAACGTAAAATTCATAGATTTCCAAGTTAATTGGGATAGATCTATCGATTCGAGTAGACAAGAAGTAAAAGTACTAAAGACATTAGTTTTTCTCAAGTTTAATACTCCGTGAGATTGCAATACTTTTCATGATCATACACGAAAGAGACACATCGAAATTATATTCCTTTGTAGATACTTTAATATCTCACACACAGATCAGTGTATCTACGTGTACCTTTTATTGTACAGACCGACTTGCGAAATTCTGAAATTTTACGTAGTGCTATACAATTAATCGTGTCATCAAGCATGCTAAGGTCGACTTATATTCCTGACGTTTTAGAAATGATATCCTTATCTAAATCTATTGATATATTAAATGTTCTACGAAGAAGAATCATGTCGATTCTTTCGTTGACTGGCTTGGAAACTCGTCCCAGGTGTATCGAAATTACGGCCTTGTATCTAGTCGGCTACGATGCTAAAGCAGGCGCCTGAACTGATGTGAATTGTGACACCCGAGCGAGTTTTCCAAATTATTTAAACAATTTTTTGAGTGGATAGTCGATCATTTTTTTAAATATCTTAATATCAACTTTCTACGTTTCTTTTTTTTCTCTTCATTTGTTATGTCAGTCGTAATATTCGTCGGCCTCCGTTCTAAGAGGAAATTGCGAGGACTATGTTTGCGGAGATCGCAAGCGAATTAAACGAATTTTTGATGAGGTAATCTTCGCATTGTTGGACAATATTATTGCATAATTTGTTCATTCGATCAAACAACAGAAGCGATGCATCAAACGATTCTTAGATATATCCTATTAAAAGATAGAAGACGTATTACGATTAACGACGTAGTATGAATTGTATATTTTCACGTGTGTGATATAGTATCTAGCCCGCAAAAGTGAGGCGAAAACCGTAAGAGAGTGAAAGAGATTATCCTTTTTGGAAAATTGTACGAGGCACAATATACATATAGAGTTTTACGCCACTAAGGAGAAATCCTAGTCACACCAGAAACAAGAGAAAAAAAGAATACGTTAATTATTAGTTATTGTATTTTATTATATTCTATGCAATATTATGCGATACAAAATAATGTATTCGATTGACTAGCTGGGGATAAAGAAATGGCAAAATCGCAGGATTTTCGATTAGTGTCGGAGTGTTGAGACACTATACTAGAGCGTAATCAAGAGAAGAGGGAGAGAAGTAATTACGTTAACTAGAATAGAAAGAAATTAGTGCGAGACGTTGAAAATAAAGAAGAGAAAGACTTGTTACGAGTACTAAACTAATAAGATTGTATGCAGAGTGAGAGGATTATCTAAATTCTTCTTAGAATTGCATTATACAGAAGTACTGTTGCATTTAAGAAAGAGAACGAGAGAGAAAGAGAACTATTAAATGGACATTGGGTATTTTTATCCGATTTCCAGAGGTAAATTGTTCTTGTATCGAATGTATATATAACAGTACATGTTACAAATCGTGTTCGATTTGTATTGTGTCTACCAAATATCAAAAAAAAAAACTAGAAAATGAATATAAAACAATTAATTATAATTCACTTTTTAACACGCAACTACTTCCTTTAACCGTATTATTTTTTTATATTATCTAAAAAGGCTAGACTCGCGTTGTATAAAGCGCAAATTTTATTAACCAACGCGGAACGGAATGTGTGTTTCTTCTTTGTTACTACGAGAGATGATCAGTAAGAGTACTATACTTCTACGCGAGATGATAGGATTCGTAGTTGTAGGAGAAACTTATATCTGTTATGTGTAAATAATTTTAAAAGAAACGTTGAATAATACGTTAAAATAATGTTTATAACTATTTATTTAACAGTCAGCTTTTATACGTAATGGAAATTAGATTAAGTAGATCGGATATATACATCGGTCTAACTGAATATTTTTGCTATGAGTATGATGAGACAAATAAAATATATACATGAGCGTGAAATATGCATCTGCAAACAAAAAGTAAAAAAACAGAAGTATAAGCATTTCAAATTTCGAGCTTATAATGACAAATACTTGGCTGTCTTCTTTGTGGAATTCAACCTCTGTAAGTGTATTAACAATCGTACGAGGGAAAACATATCATAGTTTCAGAATTATTAAACATTATTAACATTTGAATTCATATTGTGAGATTAGAAAATAATCAAATAATAAATGTATAACTTCCAAAAGTTTTAGAAGTCGCTCCTTCGTAAAAATATAATTTTGAAAGCTTCGCTAATTGAAAACCGTTAATAATATGTAAGAGAATAGACAAAGAATGGAAGAAATGAAAACAAATACCGCTAGGCACAGTAATTCCAGCAAATATTTGCATGTTACGTCACTTGTTAAATAATGTAATGTTAGCGCGATCGATAGTTTTTAGGTGAGAACAGAAGATCCAGACTTTAAAAGGGACTGACAGTAAATTAAATACTTAACTTTTCCTTGATGTAGAACAAATGCTCGTTCGATTTATTTATTTGTAATTCTATCCATTACATTAATATATATTTACAATCACATAGAAAAGAAGTATGCTTTAATACGCGTTTATATTTAAATAGAGTAGTAAATTACGACGATTTAGGATTTATTAAATTATAAAAAATTTGATCAGTATCAGGTATCGTGTTGCACATATACGTATATGTATTTACATAGAAAATATAATTATATTATATTTTTTTCAATACGAATATTTAGATATAGCAAAAAGTCATCTCCATTGAGTATCTGTATATACTCATAACAAAAACTTTACCCTTTTTTTGAAAGAGAAAGAGAGCGAACTACGCAAGGGTTCCTACTAAAGATCTTATTTTCATTGCTGGCCACCGGCTAAGACACTTAATGGTTGCGTAGTAACAGATATACTGAATGCGGCGATGAACACGTTTATGATGGTTATTAAAAAGACACCGATCACCACGTAATTATCGATCTTTCGTGCCGTCAACGATTTCGATTTCCCCTTTATGTCGAACCGACCTTTGAAAACCAAACTGACGCCTACGGCGATCTAAAATTAAAAAAATCAAATTTTATGAATGATAGCTAGACACTGTACAAAAAAGTTACTGACTACGATGCTTTGTTAATTTTTCTTTAGATAGGATGACAATATAATCTTGATCGAGATAACGATAACAGACATTTATTGTTATATTGTTTATCTTACCTGAAGAAGAAGGCTGATGATGATTAAACCCAGAATCCAAAAGAATGTGACACTCTCACGCTGATACTCGATTAGATACCTCAATTGATTTGCATTAGCCGTAATCAGAGCAACATCCATCATACCTTGGGCCACTGTCTTTTTCGCGGCAAAGGAGTTCGTATCTTTGTACGGCAGCGACTTCTTATCCGTCGTGTCAACGGCAGGAACAGTATCGTTCACCACCACACTCTCCACCATATCCGATTTGTTCATCTTAATATTTTCATTTGAAGTGTCGTCAAAACCATCCTTTTCGTCCATGTCTTCCACCGATCCTTGTTTATTTCCAGACATATTTTCCGTAAAGGAAAAAGTGTCCTTTACCACTACTTCCTCTACCATATCTATTTTGTTTCCCTTTTCCTTGTCATCCATAGCTTCCTTATATCAGTTTCTCGTTCTCCTTATTATAGCTTCCGGTTTTCGGCCTGGAATAACACACGGAACAAACGTACACTTCGCGGTCTGAACAACAAATCGTCACACTTGTTCCTGGTATATCTTTTATCTCTACCGTTTTGATTTCCTACTAATTATTATTGTCGTTCGCCGATCAAATAAATACTGTTTAATCTCGATCAGACAACTGCATCACGATTGCTTTGTCTCGAGAAGTTTAAGTAACATTATCGAAACGTGACGACGTGAGTAATTCGTGACAAGGAGACTAGAGCTTAGAAATTAGTCAGTTGCGAAACTGGAACTATGCGAATGGTATACAATGCGATTAGTTGTCAATACAATAATTGTCACCTCGAACGAATTCCTTCCGCGTTTCAATCAAATTTTAACTGGCTCTAAACGATTTGCATTTTTACGAATGAAAACTCTACGTAAAAGCTAATTAGAATTCCGCGTTTTGGTCAAATTTCAAGATTAATAAAACTATAATTAATAAACGAGAACACTTGTAACGATGAAAATCTTATACTTACTTAAGATGAAAGTGAGTGAAAACGTAACGCTGGGAGATAGTTGCTGATCTATCGGTGGTGTCGTAAATAATGAAGCCAGAGTACAGAAAGCACGATAACTGTTATCCTGTTATTCTGTATTTAAAACCGAATTCCGACGCGGTTTCAATGAAACCACAAACCACGAGCGACTGAAGGGAGATGTTTTAGGACAATATGCTTACACGATCACTAAGAGTCTTAATCGAGGTATCATAGCTACTTTAGCTGTCCCATCATCGTCTTATCGTTAAATACGCATCTCCCCGAGCGATAAAAAGGAAGTTGAAGCAACAATTTTAGATATTGTCTTAATAATGAGCATCTTTAAACATAGAGAATACAATTGTGAAAGTACTTAATCACGGCTGACTAATTCGACAAAGTGTGGGAATAGTGGTGCAAGAAATATACAATTGGTTTCCGTGATTCAGAATAATTGCGTTATTTAGGTAATTACAATCAGGCTATCAATCGACTACTATTGCACTCAAACGTTGATATAAAATGACGAACATGTACAGTAGCATCCGTACGCTGATAAACAATTACTTGTATTCATCAGTACGTATGTAGTATTGTTCCATCATTGAACATAGAAAAAGGGCATGCCATTATTGTAATCATTTAGAGATATACGACTTCTTCATTGAACTATTGTCTTGTATAATTAAGGATGTATTGGTTATACAGTCAGTACCACCTTTTACTCTTAAAAAGCTAAAATTATAGTGATTTCAAATTTTTCTTTGGTAATAGTATTATGTACAACTTTTACTTGAAGCATTTCTCGATAT